GACGTGTTTTATCAATTTCTCGGCGATACCGATACCACAGTCCGAGTCTCGTTTTTGGTCTCGTTATTGGTCTCGTTACTTTTTTTTATGAAGTTGTTATTAGAAAAATGGGAAAAGGTCCAACATATGAAATCCAATATATGACCATCTGTGAAATATTTCTTTTGTATATTCAAAATAACAAGTCAGTAACCATATCATGACCTTTTTGACTTTTTGAAAGTTTTATGAAAATTTTGTCTTTGTTTACACATCCGGAGACATATTTTTGTGTTTTTCTGTACTTCTTGAAGCAAAGATATTGTATACATCTGGGTAAGTTAGGAATTGTAGACGTGCGCCGCTTACATTCAACACAAATCAACTCGATTATTGTACCCTAGTATACATTAACGTTTAAAAATTTGAAACATTAAAAAATATATTTTCAATTAAAAGTGATGCAATTAAAAATTAATATTTTAAACTATGTATGTATTTTGGATTTACTTTACAATACATGCAATTAGCAATTAAATGACTAAACTTTTGAACTGCAAAGATCTAAAACTGAGTTCTACTTAAAGCTTCACACGATAGACTTTTCTCGTATCGTCTCGGTCTCGTATCGCTTTTGCGAGACGATACCGAGACCGAGACGATACCTTTGATAGTATCGTCCAGTCTCGTCTCGTGTGAAGCCCTAAGTAATACTGCGACACACCCAACGTAAAGGTGTAAATTTGTCAATCGACATAATACTACAATGCAATGAATTATAATGAAACATTTGCTTAACGTTAATGAAGAAATGTAAAACTAAATGAAATGTTATGTTAGCACATGTTGTTGCTGGTAGCTAGGCATTATTTAATATTCTAATGGGTAATTATACTCGCGACATCTGTACAAACTACGGTGATAAATGTTTGTTGTCTTAATAGAAACTTCCTAGAGAAAGCTGCATCTGCATGATATGCATGATAAAAATGATGCCAGTGAAATCTATTCACTTTTAAAAAACTAGTAGTCATATTTAGTGATATTCATTAAAATGAAATTAATTTGTTTTTCATTTTAAATGTATATTGAATATTTTGTCAAGAGTCACGAAATAAACAGGAAACGTGGCTTATCTTTATCGTTTCCTTTTTATCACATTTAGAGATATTTAGGTAGGTAGAGTTCCAGCATGAACTTTTTTTTCTTTTTTCTTTTTCCTGTTTCTTGGTTGGCAGACGTGATAACATGAAGTGTAGGACTCGCTACAAAACCGCATGAAAATAAAAATCCAGACTAATCCTATTATAAGAGACAAATCGATACTTTCATTCAGTAAAAGAAAAAAAAAGTTGTGCATAATAGCAAAACAATTGTTATTTCATTGAATCCAATAAAATATAACGTGTTTAGAAGTAATTATCAAAAACAAAAAATGGCGTTGACCTAATTCTTTGTATTTTTAAGACGTTCAAATGTTTTCACAACAATTTATTGATCATAATCAATATCTAAACGTTTTTAAAAGGTTTTTAATCTTTTCATAATACCAATAAACAAATTATTAAACTTAAATCCTTTCATCTGACGAAATTCATCAAATAAATCATCCAATTCCCGGAAAAACCTATCACCAAACGTCCAATTGTTATAATTTTATTTTTCTCGCTTATTATCGCATCGATAAAAATAACGATGGCGTGGTATATATACTTAACCATTCCAGTTGAATTGAAAGTACCTATGAATATGCGCCAATCTCTAGACGCGATAAAGCAATTCCTTTATTTCCCAGCAGCTTAGCAGGATCCGAATGGATTCGCAAGCTTCGTATAGCTAAAAGAGTGCGGAGACGTGACGCGGCGCCGCCTCACACCGCCATAACTCTGATGGAATAAAGTGATTAGAATGAAGCAATTGCGCAGCCCACACACAACACAACAGACCACGGCCCAAACGCGGCGCGCTAATGTTAAGATTATTCGTTTATTCGTAGATTACACCTTGAGGTGCAGCCGACACCGACACAACACAACCCAAAAGAGATTATGAGAAATTCACACATCTACAGGTTGTTATTGCAACAAATTATCAATCACCAAGATAAATTACAATAAATTGTGATAAATTTTAATTATGAATTAAATAAATCTATTAAATTATGTCTAATGTGCTTCAAAATTCAATTTTTTTGATAAAATATTTAATATTTTAAAATTTATAGTGAAATATGTGTTGTTAAAATACGCCTCCAACACATTATTTACGATTACACTTCTTTGGCGATAAGGAAATGCATCAAAACGCTTCCTTCTCGCGAGTCAAACATAACCGTAAGTACGAACAATCGCAAAAACAGGGCTGTTCCGGGCAACGACAGTAATAAAACTTCTACAGTTAGCCAAACATAAAGTTCAAAACATTACACGTGCGATATCATTAGAAATTGATATAAGTAAGTAATATTATCACATTATGTGTTATTAAATACTCATATTCATTCATCAGAGTGCCCAGCAACCTCGAGGTTAACTTAACCATCGAAAGGAAGCAAAGTACGCACACGGGACAAGCAACTCTGACACTCAATGACATAACCGTCTAAATTTATAACGCCAACGCTCTAGAGTAATGGACATTTTGCTGCGCAAAATTTCAGATGAGACATGCCATCCTGTCGCTCCTGGCCTAGTGATGACCTGATGGGAAACTTTTCCGCAATATACAATTTACAATTATTGTATTACTAGCTTTCCCTGGTACTTTTTAGTAAAAATGTAAATAGTTTTTACTCTTTTGTTCAAGACTTAGTAGCAATCGATTCCATCAATAAAATTTAAATAAAAAATTTAAAAAAATAACGATAAAAAAATTATTGTTAATGTCACGCATTTTTACCTAAATTCTTTTTAAAAAACATGGCAAATGAAATAAAATAAAGCAATAAATGAGGTAACTCTACAAATATTAAATATTTGTTATGTATAACATGTCAAATATTTAAACTGTGTCAAACTTGTTCTACAACTAGCAAAATTACCACAGTTCCCTTGGTAAATGATAAAAGTTTAGTCCTAGTGTAGTTAACTGCCTCCATTTTATCCGACAATCATTTTTAGAAGTATTTTCCGGGCGTAGATGATGAAGAATGTTATAAATAAGACAGACAACGATAATAACGTATTTGGCGCCATGAAAATCCAGTTTCCGCGTTTAATTGGACCGTAATAAAATCCCGAGATGAAATAATAACGTGCCGATTGTCCATTACGTTTTATTCTCATTCAGTCATCAAGTTATTGACAACGCGACGTTGTCTATGAATTTGCCGCCGTTTATATCGATCCACGGCTAAAAGCACAGCAATTCACTCAAAACTAAAATCAAATAAATAAATAAAAACAACATAAAATAACGATAATTGAGATAATAATCTTAAAATGCAAGTATTCACAAATTATAAGCGGAAATAAAGATTTTAACTAACCAAACTTTCATTTAAAATCTTTGAAATCCTAAAATAAACGCTTTTCAATGTAATAAATTTAAAATAATATACAACGTGTGATTGAAGAGAAAGTCTAAAGATTTAATAGGCGTATTAATGCTGTACGTCTACCGAATTGATGAGAATTGAATTTAAATTTTATTTTCAACGAATCACATTCTTCGATTGATGCCGCGCCGAAGATATAGTTAAAATCAAACATTTACCAAATATGAATTCCTATGCGAGTTTATTGACTGCAGATCGCTCTAATTGCCTCATTAAATTTACACTTGCAGCGGTATGGAATAAATATGCTAGATTCGGATATTTAATTGAAGATTCAAGAAAACTGTTAAAACTGTTCATTAATATTAATGTGAAATATAGGCCGCACAACATTCCATTTTGTAATTGATGCAAAATACAATATATTTATATATAAATTAAGAAATACTATTTTATGATAAGACCATAAAAGAAAATCGAAAGAATTTTGACCAAAACAATAATTTTTCGGTAGTTTTTGGTATAAAACCAATTGGAATTAACAGAAAAAAGAAGTTAGAGTGCCCTGAATATTTTATAAATCTTCAGATGCATCCCCAACATCAATTACAATTAACACAACCCCAATACACAAAGAAAAAGTCGAAAATCACGTAGGACTTCATTAAATTAAGTAATTTCTTACCCAAAAATGTCTTAAATTGCAGCAATCATGTGATTACCTATTTGTGTTTATATCCATCTTGATATTTTATTTAAATCTTCCAAAATTCTTTTGTTTCAATGCATATTCTCAGATAAAATCCCCAAAAACTCACCTGGAACAAGAAAAACTTTAGTTAACACAAAAATATCATAAATATTCATCAAAAGACTATAAAACAGGTTCATTTCTTTCAATTTGCATACAAACGAGTATTAGCTTCAACGACTACAGTAAATATATCTTCATGATGTTAAAATTATTAATTTGTTAAGTGCTGCCAGAGCAAACGCACACGCAGGACGAAATCAATGTTAATTTCACCTTAGTGTGCATGACTCATCTCTCCGAATATAACTATGTACAACGAGCGACTCTCATGAGCAATAAACGAAACATTCGCAGATCATTCTGATCATAACTAACCTCTACACATACACATAAACGAATACACATTTCGAATATTTTTTTGACATGATGTTAAGATTATGGTAATAAAATGTTTTTTGTGATGTTTTTCGGTATTCAAACAATATAGGTCATTCTCTGAAGATGTAGATGCTGTATAAGCAGATTCTACGCTGATATTTATCAATGTGTCGCTTATAACACTGTGCTTTGTTAATAAACTATTGATTTTTAAACAATTGCTAGTTGAGCACTTACTTAACTTGTTTTGTTTTATTTTTTGTTTTTTAATCATGGCGGCCAACATGTGTTTCAATTGTTTCTGCCTGTTGTAATGTCTTACGGTTATATTTGGATATTACATAAGGGTGAAATTAATATCACTAAAGATAAAAACAGTTAAAATATTTGTACCTGTTTCGACTCGTGCTCGAGCACGTCCATGTCAGACGAAGAGCGCGCGGTGTCCATGTCGCTGCTAGAGGTCGAGGCGTGCTCGCTCTCGCCCTCGCCCTGGCTCGGCTTGCTGGCGAAGATCTTCAGGAGCGCACCCCACATTCACCGCCGGATTCGCCCTAGGATGCTCGCGGCGCGACCACCACAATGTCATAGCCCGACCTACGTCGATTCGCGTCGTGCCGAGCGGACATTGTCAATACCGCAACTTGTTAGGCCGACACGGCGCACATCGCGCACATTTAAGCAGGTATAGTGTAATAGCGATCGCCGGCGTCAACACGTCGACATTGTTGGTAGACGCTGCGCTTATCACACGATTAGATTCAACGCGTGCGGATTAAAATCGTGGCGCAAGGCGCGATTTTGATAGGAATTGACGATGTTCATTCACTGGGAGCACGGACATCTGGACATACCACGCCGTTAGCGGACATTCTTTGAACTTGTATCCTGCGCATGCTCAATCGTTGCGTAACCAAAGCACAACTTTTAAAACAATTGGTACATACATTCAATTACGCTGTGTATGAACAATGATAAGCATACAAATCGTTTTTGTAAACATTACTTTACACTACTACGTTTTGGTTTAAATATAAACTAGTGTACGTGACGTTTTGAATTTGTTTATAAGTTAGTGTATACTCGGTTGCCTACATTTATATATTCATAAGTTGCTCATGATTTTCCAGCAGCAACCGACATAAAATGTTAAAACTACTGAACTTAAATTACTATGTACAAATTCACGAAAAAAACTATTTGTTACATGTCTCGAGTATAAAATATTAAGATACAAAGGTACGAAAGTATCGACAAGTTCAAAATGCAGTCGAATTGATATGATTCATCACTTTTTGTCGCATTTCTTAAAAGCGCATGTTTATCATTTATAAACACCCACAACTTTTCACCACCATTCTCTGGTACTTCTTGAGTGTGACATTGGCATCGTTTAAATAATAAAGCACCGAAATAGGAGTTAATCTTGTAGGCGCACAGCATGGTTTTGGGAATTTCAGTGGATTCACAAGATGGGCCAGTGTCTGCACGATGGCATGATTTGTGGCATTCATGTGGCTGTTCAGTGGGAAATTGCACTCACCAGCACAATAATATGCTTCATAACCAGGTGGTGCAATAATCCAATCCTAAACATTAGAATAAAAATAAAAGTAAGTAAGGTATATGTGGTTGTCTACTTTTAGGCGCGTGTTTCTTTTTGAATATGCGTGTTTTAATATTTAAAGATGAATTTTGTACTTACATGCCACTTTAAATCTTTAAAACTAATGTAAAGATTTTGGATACGACAACTCCTCCAATCTGGTTGGATAGATGCGTCTAGGCAAATAAAATTAAACGTTTTATTATCAAATTATTCGTTAGAAATCAACTGACAACTTACCATGTTTATAACTTTGCATCAATTGTGGATATTCTGATTTTCGAACTCTTCTTGTGTCCCTAGCAACACGAACAGTACCTCCTTGGTGGTTATTCTTAAGAAAAGCCACCATAAACGGTTGTGTTTCGTCTTCGCTTTTCACCGTCACCAAACCAATGTCCTCAGGGCGAATTTCATGCGCTAATAATAACAAAAAAGACAAACAATAAAGTAATTCTAAAGGAATGTAAGTTTTGTAGATATGTCATTATTTTACAGTAAAAGAGGGTCGTTTCAACGTCTTTGCTGGTTAGTTACGGTGGCGCTAGGCAGCAATTTACTCGGAAACGCATCGCATACCTAGGATAGTGAGTGCGCCATTCATTCTTAAATGCTCGAGGAAGTGACGAAGCAAACAAATGAAGAATTCAAAAGAGAAACAAGGAAAGCGTGGCGGGAGTGAAGGGCAAAGTGCATTAAGTTGTTTTAACCTACCTGCCCGATTGACCGGGTGCACCGACAGGTAGATGCCTTTATTCGAGTCGGGGAACGCCACCCAAGTGGTTAAGCACTTTGTGAGGTTCAATTCCAACCAGCCAGTGAAGCCCGCCGTTGTGTTGATTGATGTTATGTATTCTAATTCCCGTTCACTATTCATAAATTTAAAAAAAATAGTATTAAGCGTATATATGATTAAAAATAAATATTACCCATCATCTGTATTAATTAATTCGTATGCAGTGACGGTAAACTTCGCATTAGCTTTTTTATTCGTGTAATTTTGATTTTGGAAGATTCGTAGCTCCGCCCCGACGATGTCATCACCAATAGGGACGTCTGTTACATTAAACCATAACCTTTTTCCACGTTCATGACGTACACCGGGAACATGGTGGCCTAAAAATGTAATAAAATCAATTTATAATTTACTTAACCATTTATGTTTAGTTTACAACAAAATGTGTAATTTAGGCAACCAATAATACACATAACCTTAATCTTAAAAGTCTGCAACTTTAAAATCATGAATTTTTATTTAAAAAACTGGTTTCTGAGCGATTACGTGAGAGTTTGTAATATTTTGCAAGTAACAGTTTAAGTTGTTTAAAACATTGTGTTCCAGGATAAACAAAACTTCGCGTTTGAATATAAACAAATGACGAAAACGAAACGCAATAAGTATTTTTAACCGCAGCAAATGCAACAATGTCAAAGAGTCACATATTAATCAAATCCAAAAACTACTTTAATGAAATAATGACATTACGCAGAAGTTTACTTACTGATGCTATCGAAAGTCATAATGATATCGCTCTCGTCGATGGCGTTGCGCTCTTCTCCGCTAATATCAAGATCAGCAGAACGCTCTTCGCGACCATTTTCTTTCTCCAGCAAGCTGCGATAGACGTCCAGGAGGAATTTAGGCGCTGATTTGGTGAGCTGCTTTTCGCTCATACGCCGCGGCCGGCTCGGCAGCCCGAGCAAATGCAGAATCTCCAGCTCCACTTCACGCTTCTCCTGCATGGTCAAGACATGCTCGAGCATAGTCTGATCGCGTCCGTTATCAATGTAGAATCCAGCTGGGATGCTGCACTCGACTATTACTGCCAGTGCCTGCAGGCAGGATGTGAGTAGGAAGAGTTTTAACATTTTCGCGCACGTTGTGATCGCCTCTCGGGCGAGTTGCGGAATGTTTGAAAGTGCGACGCGCACTCAGCAAGGCACAAACGGCGACTGATAGAGGAAAGTGGGAAGCAGAGAGAAGAGTGGCTGAGCTGCTCATGCTCAGCTTGTTGACTTTACTTGCGCTCTGCAACAACTATACTAAGTGGTATCTTAACTTATTTCAAAGTTCAATAACTTAAAATTGGCAAATTAATGTTTAAAATCAAAAACAATTAAATATGCAATAGATTTATAGCAATGCTGGTTGCCTAGTTTATAAGTAAGTTATTTTAAGCCATTTATGACGATGGTTTTCGTTCGGCATCACTCGGTATAGCGAAAAACTATGCCCGCTTGATTAAACTGACCAATATGAACACCATAGAAAACGTTGCCTTGAAGAAGCAGGTTTTGTCGAGTGACCCCTTCCATTTCACCATGCTTACCACGTCTTGTTTTATAAACAAAATAAGTATTTCAGTTTCGACGCAACTTTACAATAGGCAACCAACATTACACAATCTACAACTTTAATGTTAGTATCGTGCATATTTTTATATGAACATATAACAAACATTCACATTAATACAAGTTAGTGCCAGATTACACATCCCCACAAGTTTAAAACACGTTAAAAAGATACAAATTCAAATAAACTTATTTAATTACAGTTTGTCAAAATTATAATTACTGTTTATAATATTAAAATTATTCTAAATTATTACCTAATGACACTCTACTTAACATATTTCTCCATAAACTTCTTATGAAACTCTGAGCGTAATGAATCGTTAATAAAAGTACCCTTTTTATCGGGTTCAGATCGAGCGCAATTCTTAAATACAACATCGTCGTCCCAGCGGCGTTTGACTTTGAGATCATTTTTCCCCGCTCCGGCTGAATAATGTGTCAAGAGGGGATTTCCGCTCAAAATATTCTCCATTCGGATGCGTTCTTCCTCCTGCCTGCGTTCGATTTCTTTCTTTGCTTGGTCCATAGCGCGTTCTTTTTTAATTTTGTTCAATTCCGCGAGTAGTGCTTCGGTGTCATCGTCGCTGTCGCTATCAGACGTATCGCCCTCGTCGACTGGATCATCTGCATCGAGGCTAGCAGCAGGCAATTGATCGATTTTCAGGCGTTTACTTGCACTACTGCTACTACCACTGCTGGTGTGATCAGCGGAAGTTTTTGCGTTGCGCCAATTGCGTGGATCTCGTTCGCGATCTTCTAATTCTTTACGGAAGTCGCGTGACCGGGTTTCATCAACTGTGCCTTGACCATGTTCCCTGGAAATTGTGCGCAGGGAGAATATAAACTAGATGCTGAAATTTTATAGGTGTATTTACCTGTATTTTAGTTTTGTATGTCCAGGCAAATCTCTGCTGGAATATTGTCTTGAAATGGCACTGAGATCTTTTTCATTGCGACCAGAGCCACCCCTAGCTGGATCAAACGTCGGGCGTGCAGCCGTAGTCATTTTCGATTATTAATTATTGCTTTGAATTAATTATTTTTATGATAAAATGCAAAATGAATCAGTTTTTGTGTTTTCTCACACGTTCCTCCAAACTAACAACTGTACTTTGACATTTATGACACATTTATGACATTTAGAAAGTTTACCCTTGGACCAAGTAAACAGTTTTGAACTGCGCATGCGCAGGACTATTTCTCTTATATTAAATTTGGTTTTGCTTGCAAATTTATCATTTATTTCATTAATATTTATTTTATAATAATTATAAGTTATTTAAAATACGTTCAAATAGTGTTTTAATGTTCAATTTATACATTTATTTTGAATTTGAGCGCGGAAGCTAATCTGTCAAACATGAGCTTTAATGCTGACATTTCTTTATTCAAATGTCATTCGTTAACCGTTTGTTTTTTCGGCGCATCCGGCGTCGAGATTCACGTCTTGATTCGCAATAATCAGAGAGATAAATAAATAATAATAGGTGTGATAGTGCCCGATTAGTTCACTGCGTGCCTTGGCAGTGCAACATATTGACGTTGTGCGCGAAACGTAACTTGAAGACGATTACCAGCTAAAGTGATTTCGAAACGTTGTTTTGGTTACATACACAGTGTTTGAAGAGACTTTGTAAATAGGTACGTAAAATATATTGTTTTGGACCCGACAAGTGCTACAGTTTATATAATTGTTAAGTATTTATGTAAATGAGAGTAAAATTCATTCTGGTGCGTTTATTTTCATTGCATTATCAACAATTTTGTTCATGAAAAGTCTTGTGGTATCATTGTGTGTACAAAATTCGCAACGTTAACGACGGTTTATGTTTGACAGCTGCTGGAAAATAACCGGTTTCACTATCGTCGGGTTTTATTCGCATCAAATCGCCTGGTTTTAATACCTCTCGATTGTTTAGGGATTACTTGATTATTTCTCGTTATTTCTGTATGATTATATGATTTTCAATCTGCTTCGTAATCGAAATGGATGTATTTAATGCAACCACCGGTATTGCAGATAAACCGGTAGGTTTTTGACATCCTAGCCTAGCTGCTGCCGATCCTTCCGCTCAGACTCGAGCCGTCACTGGAAGTTCTTTCGCTCTGGATTTGTGCATCGAGGCGACGGTAAAGGCGACGCGATTGCGATGGATTTCGCGATGAGCAAGGAGAATATCCAGCCGCTGAGGGGCGGCCGGAATGCTGCACAGCTCGAGGTCGGGTTGCAGGCGCAGCACAATCCGCAGTATCAGGAGCAATTGATGCTACAAAAACAGTGAGTAACACACATTCAGCCACTAATGGGAAAATTGCAAATTACGTTTGCAAAAAAAATGGTTATTGCGAGATTATTCAAATTTCAACAAAATTACCAAAAACAAAATAATTGACCGTGCATTTTTATTTTTTATATAAAATAATAATAGAAAATCATAGAAATAAACATGAAAATTTAAAAATTATAAAAATAATTAAAAATTGTTTTGTATTTTACTTACTTAAGTAAGAAATCTTCCCGAGGGGCTGTAAAATGATGTAACTTATTGTTTTTTGTTTAATTACACTGTCAGCAATGATTTTTTTTAACTTTAAACATTAAAATTTAATTTCACTGCAACTGCAGACCTGTTACACGCGAATATTATCCACAGGCAATTTGAAAACGCAATTAGAAACTATAACGGAGACGATCCACTCGACAACTACTATCAATACATTTACTGGGTCGAGCAAAGCTTCCCCAAACACGGACACGAAGGAAACTTTATTAGTTTACTAGAGGACTGCCTAGGTCGCTTTGAGAATGATCCAAACTATCAAAATGACTTAAGATTATGTAAACTATGGATTAAATATGTAAGTAAATAAATCACTAGCTACACTAACGAATTAAACCAAATATTAATTAAATTATTATTGTTAGATTGATCTGCAAGCGAATTTCACCGAGTTATACCAATTATTGTACGCGAAACGCATCTGCGTCGGTTGTGCTGACATGTACAAAGCCTGGGCGTACTACTACGAAGCTTCAGGTGATTTCAAACGTGCCGATCAGGTCTACAAGCTGGGCAAAGCTGAACTTGCGCAACCATTCCAAGAACTCGAGGCGGCTTATCATAATTTTGTCTATAGTGCCGGATTTCGAGTATGTTAAACATTTTAAAACATTTTTATCTTGTTTTTCTAAGACTTACATTTTTTATGTTATAATTGTATTGTACAGATGTTAAACGATGGCGCTGCTGATACACGACGCTTGGCCGAGCAGAGACAAGCACTCACCAGCCTACAAACATTCAAATCCGGACAAGTTGGCAGTGTACGAGTGCCATCTTCTACTGCAGGTCCCGGTATTCTCCCAATGAATCAAGCTGGTTTCAACAATGAGAACCGCTCGCATGTGGGTCCCGTCAACGTGCACGAAGACTTCCAAGATATTCTCTTTGGTGGAGGCGCTGCACCAGTAAGCATTCTTGAGACATTGAAACGCGAGGCGCCGAAGGAGAATGTCATGGAGGCCGGCGTATGGACGGGCGCTGTGAAGAAGACTCATACTGTACATAAAACATCCAGCATTCCAAGTAATTATTATTGATTAACTATTAATCTATAACAATTGTTTTAATTTATAATATTTCAGTTCATATTGACTCAATGGAACCACCGCATGAACGCGGAATTCAATTACCTGCATCATTCGTCGCGCACACTCGCGAAGATTTCTCCCAGTGGAAGGTGCCGCTCTGCGTGCCGGATCCGGAAAACCCCAATCAAATCCCAATGTATTGCAAAGCGCAATGCTACGCTGATCCAAACAAAGAGTATAGTATTGAAGAAGTACGCGCACGGCGATACATGCGCAAAACTAAACATCAGCTGAGTTTGGATGCATCTGCTAATATGGAGACGGACATCATGCAGCGCTCGAATGCATCTATGGAATGCGCTGATACTTCGATGAATGCACAACAGCAGCAAATGAACAATTTCACGCACCCGCAACAAATGCAATCGCCACATCCACACGTAAGCCTTCCCCAGCAACAACAGGCAATTGCAAGCTCAGCACCGCCGGTGTATGCCCCACCGCCGAAACACATGCACCCGCAATACAGCCAACAATATAATCCACATGTACGTAGTCCTATGCATCTGCCAAGTAATATGTATAATCATGCACCACCGCTACAACAACAGCAGCTTCCGATGCAAGTACCCCCACATATGCATCATTCCATGTCCCAACCACCGCAGGTTACACAAAATCAGCACTACACTGTACCTAGTAGTCCTGTAGTTCATCACAGCCCGAGTTATCGTGTATCACCGATGCATTCTCCTCCACGTCATCCTAGTCCCTATAGACATGTTATGCCCTATGAGCAACACTCGATTGGTGGACATCCATCTATGGGTCCTGGCCCAGGTCCACAAATACAACACCAGCATCCTTCTATATCGCAACATCAGCACTCTATGAATCATTCACAGCATTTGTATCCGGCTATGATGCAGCCGATGCAATCGCCTAATCACTCTTATCCACAAATGCACAACTTGCCGCCGATTGAGAATTCTGCGTACAACGAGCCAAAGACCTATACTAATCTTGCGTTGCAATCACCGCTGACGCAAACTTATCAGAATCATAGCGCAATGCGTACGATCGCTGACACGCAGCAGATGCATAAGTCACTCTCGGAGGATTCGGCTATCTCGCACGGTGTTGATATGTTTAACTTGTGGAGTAACAGCGATACGTCGTCACCAGTCGTGCCAATCCGGCCGCAGCAGCCACTTGCGCATTTTTCGGCTTATGCTGACTCGCCGACAACGAGCAGTTGGTTCCAGCCGCAGATAGAACCCAAGGGTAATGCGATGAAGACGCCGATAAAGATTCTGAATGATGATGAACTGGCGGAGACTGGGTCACGAGGTGGATTGGATCATGCTGCTGCTGCGCAGCCCACTGATGGGGCCAAGAGGGTTTTCGAAGAGGATGATGTGGATCTAGCTGCTAATACGGAGGTGTTTAATCTCAATGCTATGCATGTGAGCACGCCGCAGAACAAGATGAATAATGAGAATGCTCCGCCACCACCCATGGATCATCTCAAATCAACAAAGAAGAAATTGTTTGAGCATCAGATGTCTGATATTATGGAGGAGGCTAGCAATTTGTAAGATTTTTATAACTTTTTTAAAGTTTTGTTTGAAAAAAAAAATCATTTGTTTGTTTCAGTCAATCTTCTGGTAGTGCTGGAAGTAGTAGCGCTCTTGGAAGCGGTGGTAGACGGTCTGTTTTCGGGGTATCCAGACCAGGGACAATGGAACCCATTAGTGAGCAAAGCAATTATCATTTCAATTTATCACAAAATATGAAAGCGAACGCAGAATTGCGATTGAAATTAGGCATGGATTGCGATTCTGCGCCTGAGTCGCCAATTCAGCAGCCATTGCTGACGTCTTACGAAAATTACGAAGTTTATCCAGCAGAAGAACATTATGAACCTGAAGTTGTGGTAAAACTTCAAAATTTAATCGTAAACAACACAAAAATTTTAAATTTTTGAATTTTTTTATAGGAATACGATGATGAACCTCAACAACACGTACCATATCCAGTATTAAACATTCAACCGACAGATCCATTCACAAATAAAGTGCTAGAAGGCTTTCTAGCGCATGTGAATTTCCCTGGTCGGCATCGCCGTAGCCTAGTGCGCATAAACGGCGTACCGAAGTTGGCAGTAAAGAAAGATCCTTGCCACGTGGGCAAAGATCGTTACTTAGTTGATAAACTACTCGGGAAAGGATCGTATGGTAATGTGTACAAAGCAGTGCAATGCGCCACCGGCGCTGTCGTCGCCCTAAAGATACAAAAACCCGCAAACAAGTGGGAATTCTACATCTGTAAGGAGATTCAGGCGAGATTAGCTGATCATCCATTGCGGGATTGTTTTATGAACGTTCATATTGGTTATTTTAGTAAGTTATGCATAATTTTAATAAAATTCAGAGAGTTTTAATGGTTTTTCTTTGTATTTTAGGTGATTTAGCTTCGGTTTTGGTTTCTGACGTGCACAATACCTCCCTGTTGAATTTAATCAACATGATTAAGGTGAACCTGAGCAATGCCCCGAAACACCACCTGTCTATCCACCTTACCAGTGAGATGATGAAGATAGTGCAGGCGTTGCATCAGGTGCGCATCATTCACGCCGATATAAAACCGGATAATTTCCTCGTGATGGTGACGAATGATGTGGTGCGACTACAGCTGATCGACTTTGGCTGCAGTATTGATATGTCGTTGATGCCGGAAGGCACGACGTTCACGCGCAAAGTGAAGACGGTGAGCTTCCAGTGCTGCGAGATGAAGGACGACCGCCCGTGGAATTATCATACGGATTTGTTCTGCATTGCTGCCACGTCGCACGTGCTGTTGTTTGAGAGTTACATTGAGATGAAGAAGGCGGACGGCCGTTGGTCCATCACGAAGAAGATTCCGCGCTACTATCGTGATGACCTGTGGAGCACGTTTTTCAGCAGCATGCTCAATATGCAAGAGGGACTCGCTGATCTTGATTATCTTATCTCGTTCTTTGCTGATGCGCTCGATCCGAAGGAGCTGCGCTCGGCGACGACTTACATTATCAATTCGTTTAAGAATCGCTAGACTATTAACTATTAACGTTGTTTTATATTAATTTTTAAACGGTTTATGCTCGACACGTAAGAGTTGATCGACTTAGCATTGGTTGCCTACACGAATTCAAACAAAATTACGATAAAAAATAATGTTTAACGCAGAAGACGTAATTGATTTAATTGATTTATTTTCAGTTATTGGCAAGAGGTAATTCTTGCTGAATTTGTTATATGAATTAACGTATGTTTGGTTGCCTACGGGGTGGGAAGAAAATAATTAATTTCTAATTAATTTTGGCAACAAATACCTATAAAGATGATTAAATTATTGAAATGACCATATAACGAATCACATACTTTGTTTTCAAATTTTTTCCCTGCTCAAATCTCTCAATTTAAAACAGAAAAAGTTGACATTGGCAGATACATAACCTATGTCCACTTTGCTTAAAATTCTAGTGTCTAATAATGAGTATTAACAAACAAGTAGTCTTAATTACTCAAGACTACATTGTAAAGTGAAATCATGTGCATGGTGTCACATCCATAACGATGGCCTTGAACGCTTATCTACTCGCTTATGTATGTTTACGCATTTAATCTACGTTTATCGCCGCATTACGCGCACTAACAACCACTGCAATCATACTCACAACTGCTTTCTTGTACATTTGTGTTCCGTAGTCACTTTCGTCGAGATCATTCCGCTTTGCGAGCCAATTATTTCGCCCTCATCAACATTGTCGTCATTATAACCGGGACTACGACGTTACAAATTCTGCAAACATGAGTGCTGAACAACCGCGCGTTCTTTCGATTCAAAGTCATGTTGTTTCTGGATATGTTGGCAACAAAAGTGCAACTTTTCCATTACAAGTAAGTTATTATAACTATTTTAACCTACAGATTATAATTGATTTAATAGTTGTTAGGGTTTGAAGTTGATGCCATCAACTCTGTGCAGTTTTGTAATCACACTGGATATGCAAAGGGCATTAAAGGCCAAGTATTATCTGATGTCGATTTGGGTGATTTGGTTGAGGGACTACATCTAAATAACTTAGATGATGGCTATACACATTTACTGACAGGATATATTGGATCACCACTGTTTCTTCAGAGGGTTGCAGCTGTAGTTAAACATTTGAAAACAATAAATCCAGGACTTATTTATGGTATAATACAAAACCCTTTGAAAAAAACGAATTTTAAACTAAAAAATTATTGTTTTTTTAATAGTTTGTGATCCGGTAATGGGCGACAATGGACAAATGTACGTCCCTAAAGAATTACTACCTTTATATCAAAATACAATCATACCTCTAGCTGACATAATCACGCCAAATCAATTTGAAGTGGAACAACTCACCGGCTGTAAAATTAATAGCGTCGCAGATGCATGGAACGCTATCGATATTCTACACGGTAAAGGATGTAAAACTGTTGTATTATCTTCAAGTGACTTAGGAAATGATGGAAATCTTCTGGCGTTGGCAAGCAGTTCAACTGGAGACAAACGACGCATAACTCTTGAAATACCAAAGTTTTCCGGGTCTTTCACTGGCTCTGGTGATTTATTCGCGGCTTTATTCCTAGCATGGATGCACAAATCAAATAATATCGAAACAGCTCTAGAGAAAACCATCGCTACACTGCAAGCAGTGTTACAAAGAACATTAACTCACGCCAAAAAAGTAGGTGTAACACCAAGAAGTCTTGAATTGAAGTTGATTCAGAGCAAAGGCGACATTGAGAATCCATTAGTGGAAGTCAAAGTCGCCAGAAATAATAACTAATAAAGTTTTGTTGCTAGTTAATTATTTGTTATGTTATAAATTAGAATGTAATATGAGCTATGATGTGAATCATTGTCTTCCAATGCGTGTTTAATGTAATCAGCATATGAAACATGTGACCAGAAAGTGTAAACTATAAATATTGATGTAACAATGTATAGAACCAAGTTTTGAATGTGTACACTGTACAGTATTTGATATGTTATATCAAGTAGTAGAATTTCTATGCTAGTCATGGATAAAGGTATCAGAATAAACTGTAATCAAAAATTATAACTGCAAAACAAGATTATGGCGACTATTACTAATTTATAAGTATTGTTATTGTGGTTTAGGTGATAAAGCCGTTGTTATAGCAACAAAATATTGTGTCGTACTTGTATTGCTTTATTGTCAACGTAATTTTTGTTATTTTACGAATTGTTTTTAAATAACAAGATTTATCATTTGTTATTTGCGTTTCTATTGAATATATATTTGACTTTTATTAGTCATCCATTGATTTTAACAAAATGGGGATTGATTACTACGGAGTCTTGCAAATCAAGCGCAATTCTTCTGATTTAGATATAAAAAAGGCGTAGGTTTTCAATTATTTGATTATTATGTAATTCTACTATTAATATTATTGTTAATATTGCAGTTATAGAAATTTAGCCTTGGGTTTCAACAAAGTGAAATCTGGAGCTATCTTTTCACTTATCGCCGAGGCGTATGAAGTTCTTGTAAATCCGAAAACACGAGCGATTTTTGACCAATATGGTGAAGAAGGATTAAAACGAGGTGTTCCTGGACCTAATGAATTCCTACACGCCTATAGATTTCATGGAGATCCTATGAAAACATACAGGTATCTATCTTTTGCAAAATTTGTAAATTAAAGTCGCCATTTTGTTTTAAATTCATTTTTCCAACAGTGATTTCTTTGGAACCACATCACCCTTTGCTGATTTACTCGATTATTATCAAAACCCTCGTGAAATCTACGATTTACCCTTAGAAGGACGTGGTTTTCGTGTAAAGCAACCCGCGATTTACCACAACCTTTATCTGACCCTCCACGAAATATTTTTCGGTGGTGTAAAGAAGATGAAAATCCAACGATTGGAATACACGTCACCCGATCAAAGCAAAACAAAAGTTCGTGAGAAAATTCTCTCGATTCCTATAAAACCTGGAATTCCTGCTGGAACGGAAATAGTTATGCCTGAGGAAGGAGATCAGAACCCAACGCAACTTTCAGCGGACGTTATTTTTGTGGTGCATGATCGTCCACATGAACATTTTATGCGTGAAACTAATGATTTAGTCACGCAGGCACAGATTTCACTGCAAGAATCACTTCTTGGTACTATGATTACTGTCTGTACGATTGATCACCGTACTATTCGTGTGCCTATCACTGATATTGTTCACCCAGGATACGAGAAAGTTGTACCTGGTGAAGGAATGCCTATTGTGGATGAACCAGGGGAGAGAGGCGATTTGATTATACGTTTTAACGTGCAATTTCCACCGTATTTGCCGAAATCTAGCAAAGCTATGCTCGAGAAAGCGTTTTATTTGGCGAAAGTTGCTGGTGGACGTGATCAACACGAATTGATCAATAAGATGATCCTGGCTGATAAAATTATGAGGGTTTGTCCGGATGAACAACTGCCACCATTTTAAAGTGTTTTATGATCAAAGAATCCTCAAGAAATATAATAAATTTTGTTTTTCAAGTTTTTATCTTGAACAATAAAAATTAGTATTAAAACTTATTGCTAGGTGGCTAAAATAATTTGGTAAAATAATAATTATTCTGATTAAGTGCGCACGGAGAAGTATTGTTATCTTAATTGAATTTTCAGTCTGTTTATGATCAATATTGTTGCTGACCACGTCATGATAAACTGTTATCATTTGATCTAAAAGTCTTCCACCAATCAAATTGGAGATTTTAAACTGTGTAGTGCCAAAATCCCCCACTGGACGACAGCACGCGCCACTCAGCTTCTTGACAGGTAGCCATTTATCGTGATATTTCTGAAACAGCCAGTTGTGTGCGAGTTGAAAAGTTCAATATTTTCGAGAATTTACGACTGTTTGCGAGATTCGCGAACTGTATCGTAGTCGCTAATTGTGCGAATCGTCATGAGTGCTCTGTTGTTTGCGTGCTCGCGCTGTTTCTCCAGACATCCGTTCGAAGAGCTTTCGCCCGGCCAGCAGTTGTGCAAGGTACGTATGCTCTTATGGATTTCCATACTGTCGCAATTCTTAGGTTAAGAGTGGCGGTCTTGTGGTGCATTTACACAATGTGCCAATATGCCAAATTATAGAAATCAGCTGAAATTTATTATTGATTGATCTGGTTAAAATTGAGGTAACAATAGAAACACGCTACGTGAGAAACAAGTAATATTGTGACGTCGAGATGAGGAACTGTATGCAACCAAGCATGCAAGATGTATAAATTAATTCTTTTTTAACTTGAAAAACATGAATTAGAAGAGAGCAGAGGTTTTTAAAACTTATAATTTGACATCATATAGCGCTATTTCATGTATTATATTGAAACAGACGTTCATAATTTAATTTGGCAAAAGTTTATCATATGTCCTGCAGCTTTTCAGTTTCTTTCAGACATTATTACACTCAAAAACACTTTCATAACATACATACCTACACAAACAGTTTCGTTTATTGGCATAAGCCCAAATATCAAAACTACGTAATTGGCGCGTTGAAATTCATAAATATTGTTATGTTTTGTAAATACTTTTGTTAGGAATGTCGCGGTGCGTTCCCAGTGGTGAAGTGCACATACTGCCGGTCGGAGTTCCAGCAAACCACAAAGGGCAGCACCAGCACGATCTGCAAGAAATGCGAACAGAACGTAAAGGCGTACGGCAAGCCAACGGCATGCGAGTACTGCAATATCATCGCTGCATTCATCGGCAACAAGTGTCAGCGATGCACCAATTCCGAGATCAAGTATGGCCCACCCGTCAATTGCGAGCAGTGCAAACAGAAGTGCGCATTTGATCGGCACGATGACGACAAAAAGGTAAAAACAAAACCAAGTTAATACTATGAGTCATGATTTATTATAGTATTGTTTAATTCACTGATAAAGGTAATCAATTTAGTGTTTAGTGTGTTACAAGGTCAAATATGACTATAACTAAATTAATTTAAAGTTTTCTTGGTGTTTATACAATTTGCAATCAATATTTCCAGGTGGATGGTAAATTAATGTGTTGGCTGTGTACTTTATCCTACAAACGAGCTCTGGCGAAGACCAAACAGTCAGATGCGGACCGAAGACACATGAAAATGTCCCAAATTCGAAATAAACACAAAGACGGAAAGTAAGTCGCTTTTAAATGTTAGTTTTGTTTGAAATTTGAGTAATTTTACAGGACTAATGATTTTTGCTATGTTATTCCTCCCTAAACTTAGATTACGATCACATAACAAACGTCCGCAGCGCGTGGACGTGACAAAAATGCCGCCGCCGGATGATAACGGCCCGGCGAACAAAATCGCTCGCAACGGCCCCGGCCTCACTCGCGCCGACCTCGACCCCAACAGTTCCGATCACATGGTGGCGATGACCCAGCTCAAGGAGCAGATCGCCAGCCTCCAGAAACAACTAACTATGAAGGATGCGCAGATGCTCACCAAGGATAAACATGTAAGCACGTTTTTACACACTCTTGTGTTTTGATTTAAAAAAGTTGATCGTAAGCAGAATCCTGTCTTAACCAAGCTTCCTATGAGAACAAAAACGACGCATTCTTGTGTGTGTCGTTTGTGTATGATTTTATAAATCTTGTCTCTTTTCTTCCACCTGTTTGTTTGACACAATGCTATCATCTATTTTAATTAATTTATAGATAACTGAATTAAAAGCAAAACATTTTACAACCGAGAATGAGTTGCGCACAAAAATGAAGAACATTCAGAAAGAGTACGATACTAAGGTAGACGCGTATAACGTGCGCATACAGGGCTTGATGAAAGAAGTCGCTAGTCTGTCAAAGAGCACCAAGCGGGACCGCTTGTCCGCCGCCAAGGAAAGCTCGAATAATAGCGGAAGCGGAACGGACAGCCCCAACGCGTCCTAGGGATGCGATTTGTAATAAAATAAAAACACACACAAACCCAACACGCATGGTTTATTCTAGAACATTAAGCGAAACAATTATTTGTTATTTAGAGGAATATTGAATTAATAAGTGATGCTTGAGTTGGATATGGCCAAAAAAATGAAAACGCACTCTTGTATTTGTACATTCTGCGAGAATATCCAACAGTCCAAAATTAGTTATCACCTACTTTAATTAAGTTATGCATAATTTTTAACTTGTGTGTTGTGTAGATGGTTGATTAACTACTTTTCTTTCCGAACGGTACTGTTTCACCGTTCGAGCTGTAAACGTGCTCAATTCTAATGGTTATTTTATCATGTAATTATTGCAAATAGGATTGTTTGTTGGCCTAACATAAGATAAACAAACGAAACGGAAAATATGTTTTCTTCATACATATGCGCAACAAACTGTATTTTTTTGACGATTTAGTTTTCATTCACTTAACACTTACATGATGGTTGAAGAATTGTGAACGTTCGAACTGAAATATTTATTTTTGGCTGCCGCCGATTACAATTATGCTTCTATGTTTACCTAAATGATATTTTTATAAATAAAATGCCACGGATGTGGTCGGATGAACCCATGTTATTACTTCAGTGACTTTATGTGAATGGCGTATTTATTAACAGGTCAATAAAGATTGAATTCATCAAGAGTTGTTGTGTGTTTTGCTTCTTGCTTCATTTTTTTATTGGTCAATCAAGTCAAATATTGAGTGTATGATAGCATTGTGTGTTCCCATTTCTTTTGTTGTAGTTTATTATGTGTTTATGTATTTGTTGTGTTATTTCTATTGGTTAATTATTTGTTATTTTATTGTTACAGAATGAATTGATTCCTTGGCCAGGTTGAACTGCACTAATTGGATTGTATTGATTTATGAACATTTCAATCAAGATTGATGATCATTAACAGCTTCAATAACTTCAAGAATTCAGGATTATTGGAGTGGAAATTGAGTTGAACACAACAAAAGTGTTAATAAGATGAATGAAAAATTAAATTAAAGATATTTATATACAATTTATTGTGTTTTATTGCCTATTGTAATGTTTATTGTTTTATTTCTTGTAATTATTTTTAAAAGAATGAACTTTTTTGAGGTTAGTTCAGTGTAACCCAAGAAAATCAAATAATTCCGGCGATGAATTGTCTTCGAACGATTTTTGTCGATTTTCGAAGCAAATCACATGTGATACGTTATAAATCTACGCAAACAAGTACTGACTACTGTCTGGAATCACTAAAGTAAGAGATCAAATGCCCAATTTGTATTTATTCATAAAATAAGTTGCATAATTTCGATATTCATATAAAATATTTCATTTCTTTGTGTGTAGAAAGTATGATTATGAAAATTTCGTCTGCACATTACTCCTCAAAGATGCCCAGAGTAGAACAGCTGCTATTGCAATTCGAGGATTCAACATTGAGGTAGCAAGAGTGGCTGAACAAGTCTCACAACCAAATATTGGATTAATGAGGTTGAAGTTCTGGGAGGAAACAGTTGATAAATGTTTCACTGGTGATTTGAATAAGATCCCAAAACATCCAGTGGCAGAAGAATTATTTAGAGTTTTAAGTACAACTAAACTGACTAAGAGATATTTAAAGAATTTGATTGCATGCAGAGTGGAGAACATTAACAAAACACACTTTCTTGACTTGGATGCTCTAGAAAAATATGCAGATCAATCTGTTTCTAATGTTTATTACTTGTTATTAGAAGGAAGTGGTGTGAGAAACGTGCATGCTGATCATGCAGCTTCACATTTAGGAAAAGCTCAAGGAATATTACAACAATTAAGGTACAATTATAACCAAATAATTAAAAACAAACTAATTTTGTGTTTTAGGAGTATTCCAGTTGCAAGAAGTATTAATTTCCTAGCAATTCCACAAGATATTCTCATAAAACATAAACTAAGTCATGAAGAAGTTCTTCGCGGGAAAGAAAGCGAGAAATTAAACGAATGCGCGTTTGAAGTTGCGAGTCGAGCGCATATACATCTAGTCAAAGCACGAAACCTAATGAAAAGCGTTCCTGAAGAATCACGAAAAGTTCTCTTACCCGCCGCATTAGTAGAGAATTATTTAAACCGTCTACAAAATGTGCATCATAATGTGTTTCACAAGAGTCTGCAACAAAGAGCATGGATGTGGCTTCCTAAATTGTATATTAATTCAATAAAAAACGTTTATTAATTGTTACACTTGTTGACTTTTCATTTCATTGATAATATCATATTTAATCTTGTATTGCGTTTGCTATTGTACCATTGTATCTTTTGTTAATATTAACTTTTCTTGTATGAAAACGAGTATAAATACTTTCTGCAGTCAGGAGATGAAAAAAATAAATGGCATCATGAAGTTTCCCGTACTTCATGTGTCTTTTGTTTTAAGCTGTGTTTTACTTGTCGTTTGGTGCAAATGTCGGGAACCAATCAACTTGTACGATGATTTTAAATGTAAACCAATCTGGAAATCAGGAGATAACCAACATAAACGTTGTCCGAAGGCTTTTGACTGTACGCACATACGCCAAAACAATAAGTGCTTCTTTAATGGACAGTATTATAAAGTTGGACAGAATATTAACGAAACGACTAATAATCTTCCGTCATGTATAACCGAATGTACCTGCAACAGAAAGTATGACATATTTAATTCAAATTTATAAATGTGTCGACGGCCATTTTGTTAACATTTATGATTTTAGCTATGAATGGGATTGTCGAGTCTATACTTGCCCATGGGATCCTCCACCAGATGGTTGTTACAATACTTATGACTTGAGAGGATGCTGTTCAACTGGTTTCCATTGTCGTAAGTTATATCTATGATAATCCTCGTCGTATTGTGATATTTAATATTTTCGTCTTATTAGCTAATCAAAACACATTAAGATGCCGCGCAAATGATATTCTATTCTCTTACGGTCAAACTTTTGAGTCTCCAAGTGTGAATTGTGCGGTGTGTGAATGTCAGCCAGGATACACTGGGAAACCAAATGATCCACACTGCAAGAAACGAATCTGTGACGCGGAATTATATCTAAATGCTGAAATTCAAGCTTTCTGTGCACCGTCTTATCAATGGAAAGGCGATTGTTGTCCAGGAGACTACTTATGTCGTAAGTTTAATTAAACACAATCTAAATAATAACTTTAAATTTCAAATAATTTTAAATAAATGTTAACTTTTAGCATCGAAGGAGGATGAATGGGATGATGATGACCGCAGCATTGCTGTGTCTGAAGACTCAGATGTAGATGGATGGTGGTGTGATTCTTCATCATCAAATGACAATTTAGGTAAAAGTATAGCGATGAAGTAGCAATTTAAAATGTAATAATGTTTAACCGGTTTTGTTATATTTCTTAGCCTATGCCTGCCGTTATGGTGATAATTATTACCGGATTGGAGCAGAGTTCAAGCGCAAAGAAGAGTTCGACGAAGACCACGACTTGTATACACGTTGCGAGTGTGTAATTCCGCCATATTTTACTTGTATCAGGGACCGAGTACCTCCAGATGATGACTAATAGTGAAATTCTATTCCTTTTGCATAGAAACTGATATGAAATGAATAAATAAAAACTTAATCATAATAATTCTTAATGTATCTTTGATTTTGTCTTTGTTTATGAAAAACATGATACTCAACAAAAATTCACGTATAAATAAATAAAATATAAAATTAAAGCGATAAAGAATATGATCTTCTTATTGCTTCGGAAGAAGAGGTAATTGTATTTGAACGTTTTTGTCCTCAAGTGAGTAAAATTTAGAATCTGTGCTAAAATTTGGAGTTTTAAAGAGTATTTACGCCGGATTTAAGCTTCTTTGCTATATCTAAAGTGAAGTTGTACTTTTGGAATCAAAAAACGTGGTCGAATTAATAATCACTCATTATAATAAAATAATATAAAATATTACTATTACTTTACTATATTTATGCATTTTATGGATTGATCTTTTTGATCAATATGCAAATAGGTGGCGAACATGTCGCAGTTTTGTTACAAATCTTTGTAAGTTTTATGGAGTAATCTTCTATTTCTAAAATCAATGTTTTACATGTTTTTAAATGTATTTACATAAATATTCCATGCTTATTTATGTACATCATTTATTAATTCCTCATATATCCCGCCAATTTGTGTAATTACAATTATTTTCCAATAATGTTGAACTTATATGATAAATTATTCATATTTGTGTTTTTCACAATCCAAATAAATTACTCTAAAGTAACACACACAATATTATATGAGCATTAAGATAAATTAACAAACAAAACAAACATTAAAACAAAAGAATGCACATTTGCCACACCTCCACCTACGCATTACGCAAACGTAATGTGATGATTGGCACGATTGAGTAATTAATGCATTATCACACGTTGAAAATCAATGTACCTCGGAAATTCGTTAAATATTTACTTATCATCAACTCATGGATTTATGCACGGCATTTATAAATGCAAACTATAAAAGTATATATACCAACAAATCCAAACGCATCATCATTCCCATTGTAATCATGCGCTTGAGGAAAGTTTTATTCGTTTGTGCCATACTGTGCGCGCAGATCTCTTGGATTGAAAGCGTATTCAGACCGAAACCAAAATGTAACCAACCAATAAACATCTACGACAACTTGAAATGCAAACCAAAGTTTGGAAAACAAGAGAAAATCTGTCCAGAATGCTATGATTGCTCCCAAATTGATCCGAAAATTAATAAATGTTATTATCAGGGTAAATATTACAAAATTGGTGAGCAAATTGACGACAACGCAAATTTACCAAGTTGTTATGTTGGGTGCTACTGCAATGATGAGTAAGATATTAAGTTTGATACATTTAGAGACCAATCATATTAATTTTGTTCAAATTTTTAGTTTAACATTTACGTGCGCCGTTACGGATTGCGCATATCCGAGCATTCCTGATGGTTGCTACTTTACCAACGAGGTGAATCAATGTTGTCCATCAGGATTAAACTGTCGTAAGTAGGATTGTCGTAAGTATAGTTTCGACATAACCAAAACTCTGGATTTTTTCTACTTTAAGCTGATAATAACACGTTAATTTGTAACGTTGGTTACGATGTGTACGAAGGACAAACCTTTCAAAACCCTAAAGATGAATGCAGTAATTGTAAGTGTGCACGAGGAGTCACAGGCGACCCAGGAGACCCACATTGCAAAAAAACTGCCTGTGATGTTGAAATTACTCAAAGCAATTATATTCTGGGTTACTGTGCTGCTGTTTATGCTCAACTCACAGATTGTTGTCCATATGACTACATGTGCCGTAAGTAAATCTATGATTTGTTGGCTTTGCCTCCGCCCCGAATAACAGAACAACAATTTAATTAATATTAAATTATTTGTTTAATTTTATGATTATTTTCATCTTTAGCAAGAGACGATGATGTCTTCTATTCTTGTTATGACTCTTCATCCAGCTCTGATTCTGATTCCGTACCAGATTCGCAAGGTCCAAGGGTAACTTGCGACGATCACAATGGTAATTGAAAAGCTCTCAAAATTTATTAATTAATTTATTAATTAACTAACTTTTATTAATTTTTTCAGCTTGTAAACAATGTCGTTATGGAAAATCATGCTATCCACTTGGCACGAAGTTTTCACGTTATGTATACGACCCTGATTCACCTACTGATGATTGGTACCAGTTTACTGAATGCGAATGCAACATTCCTCCATATTTCACATGCACCAGAACTTTTGAGCGGCCTAGTACTGAATAAATATCACTTGAAATGAATAAATAATAAAAGGAGAAGGATTTGATAATTATTGGTTTGTATTTTAAGGTGTCTAGGAATAGTATGTGCGATAACACGTCATAAGTGGTGGAATTTTGCACAAACATTCCGTGATAGTGATGTGTCCATATTGGTCTTCAGAGTGGACCAACTTAATACCAGTCGGCACTTTTACAGTTCCATACACACAATAAGTATCTGCAATATTAAGTTAAAGTTATCTCAAAACTTAAATTGGCATTGAAAACAATGAATATTTACCATTTACATTAATAGCTTTATGCTCAAATGCCGATATATCATTTGGACTAGCTAAAATATCACAAAAATCAGTTATTATAAATTTGGTTATGTTTTAGAAGTACTTACGACATCTAACATCCACTGGGCAACAATCAGTTGGTTCAAGATACACTGGCGCACAGTTATTCAATAGATCAGCAATTTTAAATAATTCCATTCGACAAGGCACCGAACGACACACATTATGGCCGTAATTAGTATCAAAATTCTTGGTACAGACACACAGTTTGCAATTGTCCAATGGCGATGGAAACAATTCACCTTCGACATACACAGTGTCGTTTACGTCACATGTGGAGAGATTCTTCAAATCGGCTACTAATTAAATGCCAAAGTAATAATAATTAACACAGAATAAATTAAAAATATGCAACTTACAACAACGAAAAGTTTGTGGGCAGCATTCATTGAACACATACGAAAGAAAACAACGATTAACATCCGGTAAATGTAAATACGGACATTCTTGTTTTGTGCATTCAAAATTTAACCTACAAAATAAATATTTGGTTATGTTTTATTTTGTTTTAAATTTTTTAGTTTACCGTTCAGTGCATCTGCACACACCAACTTCACAAACACTTGGAATTGTGATCTTATCACCAATGTCATACCACTTGCCATCAAAATAGCACATTCTATCACGATTTGCAATACGTTTCTCGCTTATCAAATGACTACAATCGTATTGTTTCGGGCACAAATTCACAATATTCACACCGAAGATTGGTTTGCAATGTAAATCCTCGTAGATCTTCACTGGTGCTTCACACTTACTTTGTACTAAGTCTATGTTGTACAGTAGAACGTTAACAATCAAGTAAACTGCTAACAACGCAAACATTTTTTAGCATTTCGTGTTTAATTTCGAGTGTTGTATAGATCGTTACATTGCGCACAAAATGTGAGTTGAGAAGATGTGAGATGTGCGCGGAGAACGCGTATTGTTGATATGGTGATGATTGTTTGTTGACGTGTTGAAAATGTTTGTTTCAAGATAAGGACACAATCATGTGTGCACGCAGGTACATAGGTAATTGTGATCCCAATCAGAAGTTTAATGTGGAAATAACAGCATTGGTTCTGCTATTATTCGAAAGGATTGCGGGGATTATCAGGAGCAAAAACAAATTTACACAATCCGACAATATACAATAATAATATTATCCATAAACGTAATGTGCAATTATTATTTATTTAAACTTGGAGGTTCGACGTACACGTTTTAGTTATTTTTATCTTTAGTGGAAATCTGCGGTTGATTAAAACATTTCAAACAAAGGCTAGTTTCATTTCCGTCAACCAGAGCAATTTGTTATATCGGAGAATGAACAATGCGGTAGACGTGGAAAATTGGACATCCTTTGTCGACGACTCAGACTGATAACCTGGAAAGAACAATGAGAGGAATTTAGAAAGATGTGAGTGCTCATTTTTTCTTATGTTATCTCTCAAATTTCCATTTTAACCGTTTTATCTAATAGAGAATGGTCCGTAGATTACGACGCTGCGATCAGATGCTATTTATTTCTTTTAATTTACGAGATATTCGTGATTGAAAAAAATGGTCAAAAATTGAAAAATGTCACTTTTTCGCAGTTTTAGTTGCGTTTTTTGACCTTTTCCTGTAGGAAATATAATTATTTTATATTTTTATCTGATAGAGAATTTTCCAATTTTTCATAATCAACAATTCGTTGGTAGCTCTCGTTTTTAGTTTAAGAGATATTAATTATCAAAAATCGTCGAAAAAAAGTATCAAGCACCCCCCCTTGGCAATTTTTTCTTAAGGGGGTATTCTGCTCTAGGGGTTTCAAAAAATCGATTTTTTTTTTCTTAAATATTTTGAAAGTTTAACTATTCAAGAATACGTGTACAAGAGGATTTTTCAAAATTTAAATTATTTTTCGAGATATAGCCGTTTTGGTGACGCGGCATCCATACTGGTTCGCATTGACGCGAAACTTTAAACGTGTTTTTCTCGAAACTGTATTTTTCGAGCCCACGATTTCTCAACTTCTACTGAACCGATTTACTTGAAATTTTTACAGAGTCTTCTTTATGGACTTTTCTTTAAAATGAACTACGCTTATCCCCAAATTCCGATTTTAAATATTCCAAAAAAAAATCTAGAATATCAAAAAATAAGGGTAAAAAAATCACTATTTTTTCAAACAGTCGCCATTTTGTGAAAAACTTTTTTTTTCACTTGTCCGTAGTTCATATGATTGCGACATTATTCTAGATTAATAATTAATTATTCTAGATTAATTCAGATCACTTGGAGGGCTAAAATCATGGGTACGGTCACGTGCCAATTTTTTGGGACCTCCCACTTTATCACCTGCTGGAATTTAAAATTTTGAACTTTTTTCAGTTTTTATTTTTTTTTGTATTCTCAAAACATTAATAAATAAGTGTTAAAAAAATGGATAGTAAAAATATTAATTAATTTTTTTTACGGCCTTTCAAAAATCACATGAAATTCATGCCTCTAGAGTAGAATACCCCCTTAAGAATGAAAATTTCATCTCTCAGATTTCCCTTTTAACTAACCTATCTTATAGAGAATAGTCCATAGGTTAAGACGCTGCGACCAGATCCTTATTATCTCTTTTAGTTTACGATATATTCACGATTGAATAAAACGGGCAAAAATTGAAAAATGTCACTTTTTAGCACTTTTAGTCGCATTTTTTGACCTTTTACTGTTGGAAATATAATTATTTTATATTTTTACTGATAAAGAATTTTCCAATATTTAACTTCGTTGGATCCTAGCGCTTTTAGTTTAGAAGGTATTCACTATCACAACGATTCTAAAGAAGTTTTCACTTCAATAATAAATGAATTCGGCATTTAAAAATACACCACAAGGTTAAAGTTGACTTTGACCATAAAATTAAATGCAAATTTGATTATATTTATTCCGGTCAACAGATAAATAAAGTCGTGGAATTATATAATATTATTGCGAACATAAATCTTAATCCTGACGGGATCAGATTCGTGCCGTAAAATTGCAAATCTGCGTTGATCTTGAAACTTGACCTGGTGACGAATCTACACAATAACCACAACCAAATACAAACAGCTTTCCATTTATGCAATGTTTATATTGTTTGTGTTGTACGCTTTTGTATGGCCCTTGGCCTTTTTATGTAAATTAAAAATGTGTCATTCAATGTCACACTAGTTAAATTCTTCTATTTATTTAGTTTTGTTTTTATTTATCGAAATCTTCTATTAAGTGTGAAATAGAAGATTATTTCTGATAAACTGTAATCAAATCTACAATTTAAAATAGCGCATTGTGTATTGGCTGTGGTGATACACTGCAAATGAAACAAGCAGCAATTAAAATATTAAATTCGGTTGACTGGCTCCACCGACGCCATAATTTGAACCGGTCGTAACCAGTGGCGGATTATGCTTCAGTGGGGCCCTAGGCGCAAATCAAGTTTGGGGCCCCTAAATCCGAAAATTTTCAAAAACGGTTATTAGCCCAGTAAAATTAATAGTTTTAGCGTACGGGCGCCGCAAAGTCTACTTCAACATTCGTTTGTGCCAAAAACTCATTTCCACACCACCTTAAGATAGAGTACGTGGCGCGTTTTTTTTTTTTATCGTGGTATCCCCAGTTGGCCTAATCCACACGCACTATTCCAAAATTTAATGGATTATCTTCCGATTCGCCCTTCGCGATGGACCAGGTGTTGTGCGTTAATTGTTTTCAGGACCGATCGAAATATCACAGGTAAAATTTTCTGCCATACTATCCGCGATGGGATTATCGTTTTCAATGCTATCTTGGTTCTCGAGTTCATCGTACGTGTGCTCAAAAACGGTAATCGTATTTAAATACATATTACAAATTTACTTTTCTTGCCTTCTCTTGGGCAAAGATTTCAATAATTTTGTCGTACTCTAGTTTTTTAAAAATATCATTTTCTATGAACATTAATGCGAAGTCATTTAAGTGCTCTTGTGAAAGACTATTGCGCAGATAGTTTTTGACTCGTTTTAAAACTGAAAATGTCCTTTCTCCACTTGCATTAGAAACGGGCAAGGTCAAAAAAATTTGCAGTATTGTGTGTATATTTAGAAAAGTTGATTTTAGACCATTACTTAATGTTGCATACATTTCATATGGATCTCTAATATTTTCTTCTTGTATGTATTTTAGAAAATGAGTTAACTCATCAGTGAAATATTCTGGCTCAATATCTTTTTCATAGTTAGACAATAATCGCTGTACACATCACGCTGTTACGCTGTTAATACATCACATACAATATAAAAAATGTTGACAATAAAAAAATTTCTTGACGAAAATGCTGTATCATTTTTGTTCGTTTCATCATATGGATATTTGCGTTTTCTTTGTCTCATCTCTTTATAAGAATGATGAGCTGTTAGAGATTTAGCCTCCTCTTCAACAGTTTCAAAATTATTTCTGACCTCTGTTATAAATTCGTTTAATGATTTTAATAAACTAACACTATTAAGAATATTTGTCTTTGGTTCCTGTAAGTATTTGCTGGTAATTTCGATTCTCTGTAGGAGTTTGTTCCAGAAAATTGTTAACAGTGCCGTCTCAAATTGATTGAACTCTTTTGATAATTTTTTTGCTTCTAATTTTGAAATTGGTTTTTCATTGGAATCTGTGGTTACCTTTATCAAGGATTGGTAAATGTCATGATAATTTAGTCTTAGGGCTAAAACAGCGTCAGCTCTTGCGGACCATCGTATATCAATTATTCTCTTGATACTTTTAGAATTCTTATCTTTCATGCATTCGGTTAAAATATTCCACCGTCTTGTTGATGCAGCAAAGAAAATATATATATTTTGCATAAACATAAAATACTGTAATGCTCCAGAACAAGATTCCGCTGCAGTATTCCCAGCCAAATTTAAAGAATGACTTCCACATGGTATGAATTCAGTTGATTTGGAATGTTGTTTTATGCGTGCCTGTAATCCACTGTACTTGCCAGACATGTTAGCAGCGTTATCATAAGATTGGCCCCTACAGTTTGTGATATCTAAGCCATAAAAAATGATGTGAAAAATAATAGAAAGACGAAATAATTAATATTCCAAAAAAGAGAGTTACCCGCTATTTTACAACCTCAATGGAATATTCCTCAACTCATCTCCTCCACAGATGTTCGAAATTTAAAAAAATTGGCAATATACTACTCGCATTATAGCTACAACTTTCTAATGCAATATTCAAGAAAAGGTCACAAAAATTCGTGGCAGAAAACATCAAAATTTTATTTTAAACAGTTTGTCATAAAGAAATAAAATCGGAGATAAAAGTTTTAAGTCAGCTATATAACCGTGACGGTTGCTTTGCGGACACGTGTGAAATGCCGTTTTGGGCGCCAAGTGAAAACCAATACGCTATTCATAAAGGCTGAGGTCAAAACCAACTGATGAAGTATTTGTGGAATTACTATGTCTATATGGGACATATAAGTGCCAGGGGCCCCTCAGGCAACCGGGGCCCCCCAGGCAGCCGGGGCCCTAGGCGCGCGCCTAGTGCGCCTAGGCCGTAATCCGCCACTGGTCGTAACGAAGGTATAAATACCGGATTAGTCCATGACGATCATTCAGTGTCGCGTTACATTTTGATCGCGGGCCGTTATTCGACGTCGCATAAAATGTTGTGGGCAGGTTTCATTTTCGTGAGTGGATTAATTCTCGCCAATGGTAAAAATTCATCGTTAACACATAAATAATACCAAAAAAACAATTAATTTGCGATTTTTGGTTAAACAGGAGAATGTCCAGATGGTTGTGATCAACCTGTTGCAATTTATAAAGATTTACGTTGTGAACCGATCTACGCCAAGCCAACAGACTGTTGTCCAGTGAAATATGATTGCTCAACACTAGAAAAACGTCCAGAAGGTAAATGTACATACAGAGGGAAGACATATAACCTCAAAGAAGATATTCCCCAAGATGAAACCTATGGAAACTGTCAGATAGGCTGTTCTTGTCGTGAAACGTAAGACAAAACATCTTAAAACAATAAAATTAATGTTAAAATATAATTATTTGTTTCTTGTTAGTGATAACATTCAGTGCGCCATCTTAGATTGTCCAGAATGGCTGGGAAGTCGTCCGAAAGCCGGCAGCCATTTTACTTACACACTAAATAAGTGCTGTTCCACCGGGCAACAAGCTGCACCTTTTGCCACGTGCAAAGTCGGTGAAGAAGAATACAAAGAAGGGCAGAAATTCAGTGGACCAAAACGTTGTACCGACTGTGTTTGCGCTAAGGGCTGGAAGGGTAAATTCGAAGCACCTTTCTGCATGGAACAGACCTGCACGGAGGAAATGACAAATATTAAGAAAATGAAAGCAAATTGCGCTCCGTCATATCTTGGAAAGAATCCTTGCTGTCCATTTAAGTGGATTTGTTGTAAGTTACTTTAAAAATATCTTAAAAACTTAATATTTTAATTAATATTCTTAATAGCTGATGATGAAAAGGCAGATGACAAAATAACACCTTCTGCCACGCCTAAAGATGCTAATAACAAGGAGCAATGCAAGTATGGTTCAAAGTTGTTGAACATCGGTGATAAATTCGAACGGATAGAACCGATTTCATCGTATGATCGCTTCGAGATAAACTGCACTTGCGTCATTCCACCATTCCTTACCTGCACACAGAAACAGGTCTTCGACAAGGATAAAACCCCGCATCATATCAAATTGATTGCAGGAGTAATCTTAATATAAGTTTGTATACGTTTGAATTATTATTAATATAATCGTTTAATTGTAGATACTCAAAAAATAACATCCTTATTCAATCGTCGTTAGTAGTCACAGTCTTATCCGTCAGGTTAAATTACAAGGAATGTTTAAGTCATGTTTCAATCAAGTCCCATTTGTTAAAAGTCGGTTCATTGCACAGCGTCATGATTACGATAGATCCGATTTCAGCTTTTCGTACTCCTAGGCAAGTTCCGGCGGCCATGTTGTAAATGGGTGAGTGTTTCTGTCAAAATTTAAGAGAATTAAGAAAATGACAGACAGACAAGCAGATGGCGATGGAAACTTACTTCTCCTTTGTGTTTCCATTCTTGATCACCACCCATTTCGTGGCATTTATAGAGATTCGGTTCGGGTTGATGTGCATTCAGGCATAGTAACTGCGCGAGGACAAATTCACTTCGATCTGTTTCGAACCACATCTGTGATTTTGATAAAACAAAATTTAAAATTTGATTACTTTTATGCATATTACTATCAGATATTTTAAATTACCTGTTGTTTACCACGAATACATTGTTTCAACACCAATAAACTCCCCTTGGCTTTGACATCTTTCACAGCCTGCACGCAGAGGTTACTCTCGCTCAACCTAATTTGAAACTGTTTCGTATAGTTACGTTTACGCGAATGCCACGGCTGGAATTTATCTTGATCTAATGCAGACCACTTTTTCGCTTTTTTTCTGCATTATCATCGGGCAGTGCCAATTCAGGATACACATTCTTTAGATACCAAGTAAAATTCTTACAATGTAATTCTTCACGTAGTTTTATACGAGCGGAAATGTCTCCATAGTCGACTTTTTCACCTTTTCTTGAATTTAAGTAGTAAGATTTGTAGTCATCCATCCAGACATGCGCAACACGCATGGAATTATATAACATTGTGTCTTGACCATCTGGAGAGCTGTATGGACGTCTCTGGCGGAAAACATGACCAACTCTGCTACAAGGGATGAGTTCTAGCCGTCCACCACACATCCAAATCTTAAAAATTTAAAAATGTTGAAAATTAACAGTTTTATGACAAAAAATTGTATTTACACTTACTCTGAATGATATTTCTAAATTTTCTCCACCCCAAATATTCATCCCTGGATCATACTCCCCCAGCTCATTAAAATACTTCCTGTCCATAGCAAATAAACCACCAGCCATTGTAGGACTCTTGATTGGTTTAATAAAATCTTTCTCATCTTTCAAAGTCCCAGTTGGTAGATTTTCCCATTTAAAATGTAGTCCCCAGTTAAATCCACCCCTGACCAATGGACTAGATGCATACCGAAAAGTCTGCGCATTAATTACATCAATCACAGGCATCGCGACATTTGTCTTATCTTCATGCACACGTTGTAAAAGCGGTTGGATCCAATCCTGATTCACTTCTATGTGACTGTCGAGGAAAATAAGCACATCGCCCGTGGCTTTACGTGCACCAAACATTCTCGCACGAATCAGACCTTCCCTTTGTCGAGTTTTATATAATTCAACTTTACTCATGCCTTCATGATGGGCATTCGTCGATATGTAGCGGTCGATCTGGTCGTGTAAGTCGGGCAAGTCGCTAAAATCATCAATTAAGATAACTTCATGGAGGAGGTGTTCCGGTGTTCGGTTTAATACTGAGATTATCGAGCGGATTAATGTTGTATTGTGTTCGTTGTAAAAGCATATGATTATGCTCGCTGTTGGCAGTTGTTTGATGTCATAATCAATGGTTTTACATCTAAAATAAAGAAAAGTTTTCATTTTAATACAGAAAAATAGAAGTTTCGTATTTATTACAGAAATATTAGAAGAAAATATTTATTTTAACAATCTGAACTCAAATTTTGGTAATTTTCAAGAGGATTTATTAAATAACTTACAATTTGTTCCTTGTATCAGGCACACTCCTATCCAAAGCCAGTCTATTACTGACTAAGATGTTAAAAGCATGTATTTTAAATCCATAGTCTTTGGTTTCTTGATCAGCTAATGTTTTTACCAGCCCAATCTCATCTAAACCTTAAATATTGAAACAATTTTTAATAGTATTTAATCAAATAACAAGAAAAAACTTACCTTCAACTGGAACTGGCTGTAATTGTTTCAATAATTTCTCACTATTAAAACCTACATTTACATTCTGACTCCATGCCTTCTTAAAATTGCCTTTGCCAATGGAGAGATGTTTCAAATCCTCCTCAACATCCAACACATTATTGTTAATAAGATATTGTCTAGTAGCTGAATGGGCATGTGCCTTTTCAGTGAGACTCAATTGATAATACAAATATAAACAAATGCACCACGTAAAGGATGCGACAAATATTCCATAGATAAACGATTTATTTAGACTAACCATTGTTAAAATATTTAATCAATTTGAGCAATTGTTTTGTGTATTTAAAATTTAAAATAAAATTAATAGTAAGATTAAAAGATACATTTCTTAGTCATGGTATAAAATTACTTGCGTTCTGATTAATACGTCATGGACGACTAGAACATTGCTTTGTTCGTTTGTTAACTTAATAAGAACGATAAAATTATGATAATCATTTGAACTTTGGTGAAGACTTTAAGGTTAAGATCGAGGGTAATTGGTAATATGTTTTTGATTGAGCATGTCAAGAAGTATATTTGATTGCCTATATCAAATGTACGTTTGAACAAGTTTTACTTGTGATACTTTTTTAAATTATCACCATAGCGACAGTGTTTGTATCAGAAACAGTCACCAATATAAACATAAAACTGTAAACCAGAATATTTCATTAGTAAAAAGTAGTAAAATGCCTATTTTTGGCAAATTTACTTCTAAAAAGAATCCAGTGCGCAAGCCAGCTTTGCAAACAAAAGAGGAAACGGACGAATTGTTCTTAGAAAATCGTGCAATTCCATTGAAACTCGGAGAACATGAAGTTGTGTTTGAAAATGGCATTTGGTCACCAGGTTAATAACTTATAATATTCTCCAAGTAATATAAAATATTAAATTAACGCAATTTTAGATGATGACAATACGAATACTCTTCATAAAACAATTCAAGCATTGAAAGCAAGCCAACAAGAACTTCTGGAAGCAAACAATATGTTGCAATTAAAAAATGCAATTTTACTAAATATGGTAACATTGAATTTTATACTTTGGTGCAGTAGGTATAATTATTATTCTTTTAGTTAACTCAAGCTACAGCTGATTGTCACACAAGACAAAAAGAAATCGAAAAACTACAGAAAACCAAAACTAAATAATTGAAGTTTCAAAGATAACATTAAGTTTTCAATAAAACGTTTATTCTAAGTATTTATCAATCATTACTTTAATTTTAAAATGTACTATGTGTGCTGTAAAACTCATTCCTGTCCAATGTATCAACCAGTTGGGTAAATTGAGGTTGGTAAGCCGCTCGGGCAATTTTTCGACATATTTTCACAAAATACTTAGCCAACGCTAGGAAGTTAATGTAAATGCATTCCATCTTCGAAAAGTTGGGATGAGTAAATTCGTCCTCGTCCAGCCACCATTCTCGAGATCGCAGGTAATCATTAAACTTTAGAAATATTCCAAAAATATTCATGATTATATCACGAACTGGTGATGTTTTCTGATGTAAGAAACACCTGCAAACAATTTAAACATAAAATACAAGTTGTGCACGGTTGGTTGCATAAACTTTTAGTCCGCGCAGAAGACATGTACGCTGCATGACCGACGAAATTGACAGTTACACATTGTGCAGCTCAAACTAACTGCTTTACTCTTAAACTACTAAAAGTGATATAAAGTGATAATACAAACAATTCCCACTCATCCATCCACACGAAGTCGATGCAGATAACAGAAATGTAAGTCTTTTGCAATAAATACTTTAAAATAGTGCTGTATACTTACAAAAAGTGTATCTGCTTCATATAAATACTATGCGCTTGGTATAACGCATCAAAGTCATCAATATCTGTCAAAACCTGCTGAAATGTAGCCCAACTAATCTGTAACACTTCACCGACGACGTAATTCTGAAAAGTTTGCATGAAATGCGTCATCACGTGTCGCATCAGTTGCAATTTTTGATACTGCGGGGACAGCTGCATTAGCACGAATCGGTGGCCATATTGATGCTTCAATAATTTCAAATTCTAACCAGAAAAAGAAAACAAAATCGTTTACAAGTTTCCGTATTTTATTATAACTACTCACCATAAAAACTTGGCGCAATATCCATTCACCCCGATGTACTTTAATCAAAAACTGAAACACTTCATCATATTTATCCGTAACTTTCGTTGGCATTAAAATATTCAGCGGCCATTTTGCTTCGTACGTCATTGAGACACAATCCAATATATGAACATCACTTAACTGTGGAAGTTTTTCCATTGGGATAAAACTCAAGTACACACGTTGTTTATAACTCAGCCGTTGTACACATGCACATCTAGCATGGCACATAATACTATTCAGTATTTTTTGATCAAACAAAACTTCGGAAACATTAGTATTAATAATTCTTTCAAAAAGTGCATGAGTTAAATTCCGGGCGAATCCACAATCCAATAGGAAATAAAAACTCCGCATGTTTTCTAAATGTGTTATATATTGCCTATCTACTATGAAGTGTTTTAGTAATTCTGCTTTAGCCAAAGAGTGCTGTACGCGAATTGGAAATAAAATTGACTGTGATATGTAATTGTTCATAAAATGAAACTGAATGTTTGGTGTTTCCTCAAATCTCACTCTTAATGGAATGTTTTGTTGTTGCTCTTGTTGGAAATTTACTATTTCATTTGATTTAAATTTATCAAGGGTAAAATTTGGTTGTTTAATATAATTTTTAAGTGAATTTGAACTTGTTTCTACGTTATCATCCATTGCCTCAGGGACTTTGGCAATATCATTACTCTCAATAGAAGAAGTATATGAAGGGGTAAGAGAATAAACAGGATCAAGCGCATTGCAATATTCTGTTAATTGAACTTTCAATTTGTTTTGTTGTGCAATAGTCATCTTTTTAGAACTTTTACTTTCTTTGTCCATTGAGTTGCCTAGCTTTCTATTCTTTGTTTTTGTTTTCACGCTTGATTGCGATTTGATTCTTCGGGGAATTTTGGTCTGTTTTGAAGAACTATTACTGTTTTTGGAAGTGGATGAAATTTGAGATGTGGTGGACGATTGCGAGTCGTCTAAATGTGTGTTCTTCAATGGTTTGTTGTGTTTTGATATGACTTTTTCCAGTTTATTGGCAGTTTCGGCCAAATTTTCATAATATGTGATTATATTTTTGCTAAAAATTAAAAATGTTATTTATTTAAGAATAACTTTAATGATTTTCAAGTATATTAAAAGAACATACGCTTCTTTTTCTAAGATTTTGGATTCTTTCTCTTCAATTGCAAATTCTTCATTGGAGTGTGGTTTATTGGACATTTCATTAGTTTTTAGTAAATTGCAACTCGATTTTTCAAGCTTTTTTACTAAAAACAAGAAGTAAAGTAACAAAATTTACTATTTTGATTGGTTTATCTACATACTTTCAATAGATTTTACAGAAGATGCTTTCCTGACAGCTAAAAACCGATTATACACTAATTTCTCATCGCGTTTCATTTCCATCATCTTTTTTAATGAAAACGGTGCACCATTTTCAGTAATCACGTCCAGTTCATAACATTTGACATTCTTTTTCATTGTTTGCATTTGTTTCTCACTAATACAACACTGTATCAAATGTGTTTCTTCAATATTCTTTCTAGTTTTGTAACATTGAAATATTTTTGCTTGCGGCACAATTAACTTCAATAAACTCGTAATTCTTCCGCATTCTAAAATAATATACGCATATTCGCGACAAAAATTAGGAATGGCTTCATTGCACACTGAAAAAGTTCGAGTCCAACATGTTCTTCCACGACTCAAAAAGTATTTTTTGTTTTGACGAATGAAAAATTCTTGAAATGGATCGTTTAGTTCTCCTTCAAAGAGCCATGGGTTAAGATATTTTCTATTAAAGTAAAAAAAATTAATAAAATATTATAAATTAAGCAACACATTATCATACATAAAATAAATTTGAAAGCAAGGATACAACAGGGAATGCAAAACTAGCATAACTTGTCTATTCGCCTGTGTGAACACCATTTTGTACAAAACATTCAATACTTGGACGCCATCTTGTGTGTTATTTAAACCATTATTATCTTTGAAAGTACCAACTTTGCATATGGATGCCACCGCAAAAAGATGCAAGGATAATTTGCGTATATGCGCGTGGAATTGGATAAGCCCTTTGCTAATGTGCATATTTAATGCGGCAGCGGCGAAAAATGTCAAGTAGCGCTTAACTGCGTTGCAAAATTCCTAAAAAATACAATTTTTAACTTAAAATTAAGAAAACAAAAAGTTATTTGTATTTATTTCCACTTTTGACAGTTGAAAATGCTGATTAGAAGATAATATTTCAATAAAAAATTTAAAAATTGAAATAAATAATTATATACTAAGTGATTACGTGAACCTAATAAAACCGAAAAATAAATGTTATTCTAAAAACGTACAAAATAAACAAATCCGTGTTGATCCACAATATTATCATCAATTATTGAAACCATCGCTGAAAGTGCTTTGTAACAAATACCAACGTTCATCATCAACATGGCGTATTGCTTAAAAACAGCAAAAGCAACATTTTCAAACAAAATATCTTCATTTAAAATGAAAGAATCGTTATGTGCTTTAAACGTGTTTGATTCTATCCCAACTAAAACACATCGCATTCATATTAAGTGCTTTTTAGGTTGCCTATCACTATGTAAATTTAAAATTTGAGGTTGTGCAATTGCTTACTTACCGACTAAAGATTTTAAATCTTTCATATACTCTTCTTTACTTAATACCTTTATCGGTTTTTGCGGCTTGTAATCATCTATATCTAAATCAAGTTGCCTTTCTTTTAAAACTCTAATTTTCTCAATGACACCATAAAGTTCAACATTAGCTTCCGAAATTGAAGGTTTCTCAGGTTTCGGTGTAGAATTCCCGAGTGTTTCCCATGTTCGTCTTTTGGTGAAATGTGTTCTTGATTCAATTTCCCAAAAGCTGACTTTTGGTTTTACCTCCAGGGCACTTTGGTAAATATTATCATCATCGGTTTCTTCAGGAATTGTAGTGCATGCAGATGATGTATTCGCTGATTTTGATAATCTTGAGGGTATTCTAATTTCAGACAGTTTATCTAGATCAGGACTAAAATATTCACTATGTGATGATAACAAATGGAATGATTTCGATGATAAAGGTTTAATAAAAGTAGACATTTGGTCTTGTAGGTGAAAATTTGATTTAGTTTTTGTTTTGGGGTATAAACTGGTTATTTCCAAAGTATCCTGTACAAAAACAAATAATAGTGTAGGTTAGAGGTTATGTATATTATATTATAGGTATTATAGGATATAATTTACTTGTTGATTGCTCTTCGGAGGTTGTTTCAGTTTTAATAAAAAGTGAAATATGCTTTTCATAGTATATGGATCATAATTTGATTTTATAATTTTTGTAAGCAGTTGTCAATTTCCTCCGCCATTTTCTTTTCTTTGAAGGTATTCTTCAAAATATACTGCCATGCAAGAAACTGGCATTCGTAATCATTACAGTTTTCTAACCAATACTGGTCTATAATTTAAAAATAAAAAATAATATTAAGGTTATGTTTTTGAGCTACCAGGAATTAATTTTCGTTTAAATAGTAATATTTCAAAGGCTTTGCTTCGTAGTTTCTTTAATGCTTCATTGTTCACATATCTTTGTTTCGCTCTTAATTGAGATTCACATAATTTCGTTACTAATGTGTAAACGCTATCATTGTCGGCCATTTTGAATTCACGCACAATGTTTTGCTATAAAGGAATGAAATATTTTTAATGTTTTTTCATGAAAATATTTGATTAGGTGTCTGTCACACTGCACATAATCAAAATTTGACTATTTGACACTGAATAATTATGTATTTTGTTTCGATAACACAAAAAGTAATAAATATAGGCAACCAAATTAACATTTTCTGCGTTAACCAATTTCTAAAGACATAATTCTTATTACAAATTTTATATTATCTGATTAGTAACATGATAAACTAATTTACACAAATTAATTTAAATAAAATTTAAAATTTACAACAAGCAGAGTCAAAAATATATTGCATTGCAACATTTTGAGAATTTAACACACAAAATAATAAATTCTCAACTCGCTGAATAGAAATCAATCAACAAATACCAATAATAACTAAATACTCAATTAATTTACACTACATACGAGCACTCAAATCAAACATTCGAATTAATTCGAACGGCGTTGCATAGTGCGTGACCTAGTTTCGCGATGGCGCTCGCATCGCGCCTAGCATGGTGCAGGTCCTCGCCACCGCCAACCCTCCCGCGGCGTCCCGCACCGCCCCCTCTCGCCGTCTCCCGCGCTCGCGCTCCTCCGGCGCACACACGGCACACGCAGACTCACAGAGAGCAGTCCCGTTCCCTTTGCGGCGCCGGCACGCAACAATCGCGCCGATTCCGCGAACGCGCGTGAACACCAGTGACATATTAGTGAGATTACAACCGATCGCAACCAGCAAACACTTTCGCAATCGCCATTCTGCACACAAATCGTCGAAAACAATTGATTCAGTAATTGCATCGGGGTGGTGTTAGTGCTCCCGGTCGGATGCAGCGGAAGTAGAGCTTAGAGGTCATTGAGGTTGCGGTTCAAGCTGGAATCTAGGCGGAAAACGCTCAGAAAATGTGAGTGAAGTAATTTATTACACATTTTATTTGGTTTTATGATGAATTTTGAAGAAATTTAGTGAAATTATTAGTTGTTAACGATGCTTGCGGATTTTTGACAGATTTGACACTTGTGACCGACCGAGAAGAGGTAAAGAATTTGGGCACTGTGTCAATAAGTCAATCAGTCACTAGTTTTCCTTGTTATCTTCTCTATTTTTACGAAATTTTGCATAAATTCCACACTTTTCAACGGAATTTCTTTCTTTTTCCACCATTTTATGTGGTTATATATGCGTTGCTATGGTTACCATTGTTTTTTCATTTGTGTCTCTTTGTGAGCAGTTTGTAAGAATACGGAAAATTGTTCTGCGTCGTGTGTCGGGTCAGTTGGTCGTCGGGAATAATGCACGACTGAAAATAGCACGTTATAGCACACAAAGACGCACACACATGCACGCAGGCAGTTCTAGCTTGCGGTGTGTGTGGTGGCGGATAAATCCATAAGGCGAACGCCGCTTTGGCAAACGAACGCCGCGCTGCCGCCGCCAGCGCCGATCGAAAAATAGAAAAGTCACGCGCTCTCCCGTGAGCCGCGACTAGCGTATTCTTGCTATGTGGAATCGTGCGATAAATATTATTCAATCGCCCGATCGACGCTCAAGTACTCGCTTGTTAACGATTGCCGCAATCTTTTTATATCTAGATATAGGGAAGATAACTTATATTGGCGAAATTGATTGTTTATTACAAATGTGTACACATTGTGTACATTTATTCATCTTGAAACTAAGCATATAATAATTAATATTTGAGATAAGATAATTTTATGTCTTTAAAAATAGGTTTTGTGTAGAAAAAGTTGCCTATTCTGATTTTAATTTCTATTTTGGAGTAAAATTGGTTGCCTATCTTTATAATTTTTCTTTTAACTTTTTAACCACGATTTTGTATTCTTTTGATGGCAAATCTCTGCTTTTCTGTTGCTTTGACCGGTTTCTGTGTGCACTAATATGATTTCCCCGGTATTATTGTGTGAATGTGAGTGGAGAATGCAAGTACTTGTGCATTTCGTGCATCCGCGAAAGTCAAGGTCGGGCGTGCAACCGTAGCAGTTGTCCTGTCCTCTGTGTGCCGGCACTATCGCACTGCGACTCCTGCAAAGCTGCGAAAGCTGCTTCTATCGATTTATTTTTGTTTCGGCGCGTGTTATGCGCTTCGCGCGAATTCCGCGCTGCATCACTCGACACACGTCTGCACAATGTGCACTCAAACTTCAAACTCAATTTCAACAAATGGATAAACTCAATTTTAACAAATATCAAAAGCATTTTGCTAAAACATTTGAAAAAATAATTTTTAAGTAAATTTATTTTAAATATCTAAAGCTTTATCCATAATTGTCTTCACTTAACTCCGTTTTATTTAATAATGGCTGCCGATGCAAATAAGAGCTTTACATAATTTAATGCTTTCTCATTTCATTTATTATTCAATATTCTAAAACTTTAAGGAACTGAGTTATATCCTTATAAAACAGAACAACTTTTCAAATTAACATATTTTATTCTCTCCCTAAATATTGTATCATTCTCCCAAAGTAATAATTTTCCTCGTGATATTTACGATGTTTACCGTCAAATGTACTTTCCTAGCATTCACCTTGATGATTTTACAACTTTTTGCGATGTACCCGCACTATAAACATAAATAAATAACAACATAAAAGCTATTTAAGTTGGCCGAAAATTACAAAACCTGCTATACGAGTAAATTTCCTCTCATTATTATACTACGCCGAAAATACGTTTCATTCTGGCAATCACCACAAACACTTTAATAATGTATGCAACCCAATATACATTACACTCAATTTAATTCAGATTGCATACATTAATTTTTAATAGAAGAGTCTCTGCATCGTAAAACGTTATTATCACATTATATCCTGTTTTTGACTCGACCTAAATACTCCGTGCTACATTCAGCTGCGCATCTAGTTTAATATTACATTAATTCGGTGATGGACGGCGCCATATTACTTCGCCGGCGTCATTTGCATTTTTATTCGTTCTGGAACGCCTTCAATTCAAGTGATATTAATTGTCAAAAGAATCTCTGCATTAGACACACAACTAAAATAAAAAATCTATTAATCACATGAAATGTACATTTGGTTGCATATTTTAAAGCTATTGAATATTTTATAATTATATAAACACTCGAACATGTTTTAATTGGCGTGTTTACATGTTTAAACCAAATATTTGCATGCCTTTTTAAGAATTATGTAAATTCAAGATAAAGAAACAAATGAAATGCGTTCTGTGGCATGACTGGTACTTGTATGAGCTTTCTTATCACTGTCAATTGTGGTGACAGTCTATCGCCCTCGCGTCGACCACAATTGCCTCTCACTTCAATCGTGTGTCTAACTTTAGTTGTGATATTATTGTTCCAGAGTCACGACTCGCCGCTGACAACAAAAAAGTTACACTCGCTGCAAGGATATAATACGTGTTGGCGTCGTTGACAAAGTTTATGAATCGATAATATTCCCATTTGCTGTGGAAAGCAGTGCGCTTTGTGTGTCCGCACAGCTTGTCGGAGTGTTTTTTGTGATTTGAAGTGAATCAAAGTGTTTTTAATTCTTACATCTTCATTGGTATGACCGTTCTGGAAGTGTTTTTCGCTGGTGAACATTCGTGTTGCAACGCGAGCGCCTTCGCAGAGTCGTTGTGATGATGGCATAATACCCAGCCAAGACGTCATCCAACAAGAGCTCGTGGCGTCGACAGCCACGAACTGGTGAGTTGATTGATTATAATTTGTTTTGTTTTATTAGTTATTAATTAACTTTAGACTTTGAATCTTTTGCGAGTTTAGTTTTTGTGTGTATTGGGTTGCCTATGACAACATGAAAAACAATGCTTTTAATGGGTTCTAAACATAGCGTTTCGAGTAAAACACATATTTATTTGACTTGGCACCGTTTCCGACGTTGATTCACACTTTTCCGACCTTTGCGGTTTAAATTATAGCCATGACAATGACTTACAATGACACAGACTGATGATTTCAATATGCATAATGAATATGACTCAATAACAATGAAAAATGGCGATGTGTGTGGTAGGCAACCCAACATATATTGATTCTATGGCTGAAAGTGTTATTTGAAACTAATTGCAAGTGATTTTTGCGCAGGGGTCGTGGTGACGCCGACCAATCGCCGCTTCAATGTGACGGTTGTGCCAAGCGGGCCGGTGCCGGGCGAAGGCGCCGGTGCCGCACCGCCATCGCCGGCACCGCGTCATCGCGCCGAGCACTTCGCCACCATACCCGAAGATCATGCGCTAGAAGGCCCCCAGTTGCCCTCCGTCCTGCTCTCCCACAGCGCAAATAATAGCCGTGCACCTACCCCGGAACCTAATTGGGATTTTGATGAAGCAGCACACAGCGATACTGTAAGTTTTTAAATTTTAAACGTTTATTAATATTAGTAATATGGCGTTTTATGGTGGCGACTTTGGTTAGATTTTAAATTTTGCGATTGCGGAAAAAGTGATTTAGTGACTTTCACTTTTGTGGATTGGTAGTAACGGCGCGTTGATCAGCTGATGTCGCCGCTTGGCCGGTTACGCCCCCTTGCGGAGACTCCGCACAGCTGTGCGTCAAACGGCGCGCTAGCACGGCGAACAGCGGCGAACGTTGTTGCTGGTTGTTGTTGCTACGACGATCACCGCGTCGATCGTAACGCGCTCCGTGTCGCTCGTGTTTCTCGACGGCGCGCACCATGAGCACGAGTAGTTCGAGCAGCGCGAGCCGTTCGTAGAGCCGTGTACGTGCGTGTTTCCTTGCGAGAGTGCCTTCTTTATTGCCATTAATCATCCGCAAAGAGCGAGAAATCATAAATACCTCAACTTCCCATCCACGATTTTCATCATCCATCAACCTTCGGAAAAACAAATCGGTGTGATTGTTTGACAGTTGATCGTCACTTGTTTTCTGAATGGAATTTTTGACGCCAACATCGGTGTAATTTAAGCGGATTATCGCGACGAGTGCGGCACCACGGAAGTTGTGCGCCTTAATCGGCTTTCGCCAATTGGTAACATGCTAACAACGAGCAGTTGCCATTTTATTCGTTTGGGCGAAAGCAACGCACGGTGACTAGTGTTTGTTTTTCGTGATTCGCTTGTTTGTGGATTCGGATACAATATTTGTGTTAACCCACCCAGCGAGGAAAAAACATAATGCGCCAGTTGGGAATAAGCAGCACGACAAGGATATTTGGATATTAATTACGAATCAGGTAGATAAACAAGCGTTATAAAAACATTAAATTGATAACGATATAAACCACAATGAACAGAAAATAACGAAACTGATTGCTTCGAATATTTTCCCCATTCGCCGCAAAAATAACGGCGAAATTTAGGCAAATTAGTTTTCACTCAGCAAATTGTGTGATAATGCAAAGTCATTGACATTTGATGCGCAAACAAAGCCGTGAAACATGAAAAATCCTAATTCCGATCACCTTGCGTGTGTGGTTTGTTTTTTTCGTTAGTCGTGTATTCAGTGTTCACTTTCTCGTCACGAAAATAGCGACACGGAACACACAACAATAAAAAACAAGCGCGCGAACACGTCATTGTCGTAGACACCTTTGGATGGACGGCTAAAAATAATGGCGATCATGTTACAATAGCAATCAATCGTAAGTCAATCGATATATGCGTCGCGAACAAAACTCCAACCTCACAACGTGCATTGACATCATGACGAACATTCCAAAATGAAAGAAATGTGAAAAATTGTGGAATAATCTGGAAGCTTGCAATGTTTGACATTTGTTTGTTCTTTTCTCTGTTTGCGGCCATTTTTGTTTCGTTTTTGACTTACTCATCGTAAACGCGTAAACCGTGTGTAAATGATTGAGATCATGATGATTCGTGCGGGTTTCTCGAGATTGTCGTGTTTTTACGATCCCGGTGTGTGTGTGCACGCTGCATGATAATTGTGTCAATAGACTTTGTTTTTCCTCGTCGCGTCTCGTGCGGTGTCTGATGCTAACAACGAGTGAACTAAGCTTACACACGTAATAAACTCGAGCAAACATTTAGATTGTCGCGGAGATAGTCATTTATTAAATAGAAAAAATTTAGGATGTTGTAGTTTTGACGTGTGTCACGGTGTGCGAATTGTAATTGCGCAAGAAGTTGGAGGTTTCGGTTACGTTTGAGCGGTGTTTTTGTATGCGGAGCACATCAAACGTGTTTAATCGGCATCCATCATGTGAGCCGCGAGGTATGAAGCGTCGAACAGTTGGCTTTTTGTTTAGCAACAATTGTGCAAATTGTAAAAACGATGAAAGCGTGTTGCGTGCGTGCTTGGAATTAGTGTGTAGGCGTTGGGTGGGTAATTAGGTGAAGAAATTATACCGCTATTGTTTTAAATCGTCATATCAAAATAGATCTGCGTGAATTTTGATTAATGGCGGTTCTTAGAAAGCTGTACATTTGTATCTCAATTTATTTGGTGGTTTTAAATTTGGCACACGATAAAACAGCAAGTACTGTTTTTTATTCTTTACTTTGAGTATTTCCGTTTTTAAATGTTGTAAAACACTTCGACGGGTTTTCCAATTTGTTTATACTTCCGCTTTTTGTTTTAAAATAGTCTGTAGCCAATTTTTGTGCAAATAAGAGGTAGATATACGCGTAGAAAAATAGACACGTGAATAATTTGAAGAGCAAACTTTAAGCGAGTGTTTTCGAATGAGTTTATAGATGTAGAAAAACAAACACAGCAATAATTACAGATAAGTGTAGAAATTATATTTGTACACGTTTAACAACGTCATTCTTATTTTATTTAGACTGAAATTAGTACAATTGTATTTTTAGAAAATCTTCATCAGCCACAAACAATTTATTTAATACTAGCTTTTGTCTGCGACTTAGTTTTTAGTTAAAAGGTAATTAGTTTTTACTTTCTTGTTCCTTGTGTCGATTCCATCAATAAGATTCGTAATTATATTTGAAAGAAATGAGAAATGCTAATATTGCACGTCAGTGCCATCTAGGATTCAATTATTTCGCTAAAACTATGATTATAATAATTTTCATCCCTTATTTAACACCCTTTGAATTATAATTTATGAGATTTTAATAGTTATTCTCTTATTCTGAGCCAAGACAAATCCAAAAATCATAGATCATAAAAATCTGTCCACTCGTTCTTGAGTTATAAATGTTGTAACTAACAAAATTTTAATTCTAATTGTAATCTGAACAAAACATTTCTCGGTACATAGGTACAATATATCATGTCAGTATGCTGATGACCTCATCAATTAAACATCATGTGCATACCCCCACACACACATTGTTTGCCGCACATAACTTTATAGTTAATTACTGCTAAATGAATTTGTTTCGTCACTTGACTGACACGACCCTGAATAAAACTACAGTCCTTCGTTTCCTTGAATCATTGCTAATTCATTGTCATCGAGCTCTCTTTTGTTTTCCTACGCTCAATTTGCAGCTAATTCGAAGTTAATTAATTGGTTTCCATGAACGCGCTGGGTAACAAGTCACAAGCGACTAATAAAAGTTTAATTAGGAATTGCGAATGACACTATACGTCTTCATCCGTGATATGCGAGGTGTTAATTTCGATTGCGTTCGTTTGATGTCAGAAGAAGCTCCACGTCTATTTTTAGCTCTTATAATTTAATTAGTTGCTGTTTAACACTTTATTAACCTGATGGAATTCTATTTTTACACCTAACATAAATTTAGATATATTTTTCGGTTGTGATAATTATCTAAAATTGATTAAGAATGGAAAATTTTGGTTGTAGTAATTTATATTGTTAAAATATTTCCGTGTGGAATTGTTTTTTTCGATCCGTAAACGATAAAGCAATTAAACCTCGAATTGCGTACAAGCATATCGTTTAAATTTTTAAATTGTTTATTGCATTCATAATGTCTCCTCTGATCTACTCGACATGTCTCGTAGATTGGTTCTCGAAGTCGCAAACAATGCGCATTGTTTTATTTCGGATGATTTACACTGCGCTTATTTACTTATAGTAATACCTTAGGTAATTTTAGTAAGTCAATATTTATCTTATCTAGGAGTAACCCACCTCTACAATCGTCTACAGCGCCAGTTGCCACGGTTTGTTGCCCATGTTGCTTATTTATAGACTTGATAATGGCATGAAAATGAATCTATTTAAATATTCCATTCAGAGTGATTTGCTTAACATTAACAATGCAAACATGATTAACTTTGTGCGCGCAAAAAACATGCGAATATCTCGTATTGTGTGCGTTGTTTTTATTTTTCATTAGCGAAATTAGTTAAATGCATCTTCCGAGAATTGCGTTTATGTCGTCGTCGTCGGGTGTATCATTAATTATGACAGCGCATTAATATGATGAATATGTTCGGCGTGTGGTTGTATAATTTTGCCGGGCGGTCGCGCATAAAAAGAGCGCTTGGAATTACCGACAAACAATGACCAACGGTTACACGCGAGTGCGAGTGTTTTTTACTTATTACATCACGCCTTGTTATGCCATTCTCACATATGCTACACGCTGCAGAGTTTTTTTTTCGTGTCAAAAATTTGTTTACCTGTAGAATTTAACTTTGAGGTGGGTTATTGCATATAATTTACGCCAAATTTACGATGATATATGAGAAATGATGGAAATTTTATATTTTATATCGACGCTTGCGCAAGCTTGCGCAAATGAATCAGTAATTTACTCAATGTGGGCAGCAATACATCGTCAACACAACGCAACACGCGACAAGCATCCATAAATTTCTACTGCACTTTGTTTAAATCACATTAAACAAAATCTCTTGTATTGTTCTTTTGTGATTTCCATGTTAATGTTTAAATACAGCATAATTGTTATTTGACAAGCGGAAACATTAATTTATTAAATGAATGGTATTAATAATACCCAGCTGGTCGTCGTCAAGCTGTCTGCCGTTGCCCGGTGCGCAGCTTGTCATGTCATCGGCTAATTAACCGGTGAGCGCACGACTGGTCAATCTGGCACGCGAATGACATTACGAATCATACACACTCTCGCCGGAAAACTAAAACAGTTCATAAATATCCTTCAACATCAAAGGAAATTGCTATTTTTTCGGTTACTTTCCAAGATTTATATTTATAGAATTTAATGAAAGTGTTTTATTTTTTGTACCTGCTGTTGTTACGCTTGAGTAATTTGTTCTGAAAAGAATGTATGTCGCGTTTGTCTCCGTAACTCACAACGCGGTTATTAATGAAATTTTGCAAACGCGTGCATGCCCGCAGGTTATATTTATCCGCGAGTTGCTAGGAGAGTTTGTGGAGCTTCTAGTGGCTGGTCGGCGCGACTGGCCACTAATTAAGTTCAGCGCGTTCAGTTAGCGAATATCAGCACGTTGTAATTAGTAATTATACGTTTGCTTGACAGTCGCGTCGAGTGGAACTCGGTTGCGATTGGAATTTTGCGTTGAGAGATATTTTACCGTCTAGAAAATTTAATTTTCAATCAGGGTAAGAATTTAGAATGTGTTGAACATGTTTTATGCTTTTAATGTAAAAAATATAAGATGAAAGAAGTAATTACTTTTACACGGATTATTAAACATACATTCTTGAAAGTTTTGCGTAAATTAAGATTTAAATTTAGACGTGAATTAAATTTTAGCTTTATTAGCAATATGGTAATAAATGTGATTCATTTTCAAACATTATCGTGAAAAAGGAAATGCACTGGAATCGTGACTAACCTTTGTGCATTTTATGCACGTTACCTATTGTTTTTTGTTTGAGTGAGCGCGCGCGCGCACCGTACGGTTTGCTTTTAATCGCCTTAAAACCTCCCATTGACTTCACCGTTATTCCACGATCGTGATGATTATCTCGTTGCTCCCTGACATTTGCTGCATGCCGTATCGCGTGTGCGCACGAAGTCTGTTTTCGGACGTGTTTACGCTCTTGTTTGCGACGCTATGACGCCACCATCAAGCGAAGGTGGCATATTAGTCGGCTAATGCCGCCCCTCGAGGATATGAACACAATTACGTACATTCGCAGTGCATTTGTTGGGTGCCAGCTCGGTTGATTTGCGCGTAGCAACAGTGAAAAGCGCGGAAGTTAATAAGTTCATATAATTGCTGTTTTACTTATCTAGAAAAACTTTAATAGCTCTAAATGTCTGTTGATTCATTTTTATTTTGTTGATAAAGTTAAAATTTGAAGAATTTGCTTTTAATTTTTGAAGAATTCGGAAATATTGAAAATATTTGTAACGGCAAATTTAGTTGATTTTGTTCGTTTGCCTTCATAGCTATATATTAATTTCCTTGTTATAGCGGAGGAGTTGTACTCTATATAACGACGAAAATTATTTTCATTTTTACCAATTATGACCATCATTTTTTCGCAGTTATGAGCCGAATATCCCAGGAAATTTTTATGCAAAATTATATAACTTAAGCTTGATTTTTTCGTTAATTTATTGGGTGTATTGACAGCTACGCTATTTTTACCACCACGTATTCGTAGTATTAGTATTCAATGAAGGAGCAATTGGTACAGACAATATTAACTCGTATATTGCAGCAATGTATTCTTAGAAGTAGGCGAATCGAGGAAAATGCAATACGCGGAACTGTGCTCAAAGCGGCAGAATCGGAGAACTACAAATTAATCGATAATTAGGGCAATGCGGTAGGAATTGCGGTCGGGTAATACATTCCACTCACGGTCATACCAGGAAATTTTATTAAATTGTCTATAAAATGGCGGAAAATGATGATTTACAACATGTTGCCTAAATCCTTTGATTTAGTAAAAGTGGCATTTTTATAATTTTTTTAGCCAAAAATAGAAGTAATGTACTTCTCAAGGTTAACTAAATTATGGCAACAGTACACTACCGAATTATCAACAAAATCATCATCATCGTTGATCGAGAATTTTGTAAATAAGCACAAACCGGAAGCATTTCATAAAATGTTTTAATTTTCGCATTAATTCGTGTCCCAAACTCGTAATAGGTTATATCATCTCTAAAATTAACATTCATGAGGAAACAAATTCAAAAACCTTGTTGTTGACAAAATATCAAACTGGTTTTCGAAAACAACAACTCGAAGCAATCAGTTTCGCCTGTTAATCTGTGGTGATATCTTTGTTTATTAGTGAATAAATTGTCTTAGATTTGTATTTATTATTAGTATTAAAGATTAAAACACAAAAAAATGGAATCCAACGGTGTATCGGTGCAAAGCAAGCGTCTTTACGACAACCGCACAATGCTGATAAACCCGCCAACAAATGATTCAGACGACTCGGACATCGAGGGCGATCTGGTAACAACGATAAACGAGAATATTAAAGGTTTCCTCGAGAACGACAAGACCGAGAATGTCCTCCAGCTGTACTACAACAACCATCAGAATCTGCCGAGCACACGGCATGCTAATCAACGCCGCTTATCGCAGTGCCGCGAGGAGGACGAAGAGGAAGAAAAACGCGATGCGAACAAAACCGAACTGGAGGCGATTTCCGGCTCGGAGAAATCCCTCTCGGAATCCTCTTCGAACGGATCGAAATCATCCGTCATTGACACCGTCACCGGGCCAACGCATAAATTTGTCGTCACCAAAACAAAGGTGGAATCCGAGTGCACAATTACGAACAATACTAATAAATCCACTTCGACGAATGGTAAAACTGCAGAGGTGGATCTAAATCTAAAAGACGGTGAAACGGTGGAATTGAGGGCGGCCGGGTTACCCAGTGACGTCACATCGACGAATAAGTCACCTGTCAAGACGTCCAGTGGCAGGCCGATGACGGAAGCGGAGAGGATCTTCGCCACGCGCAAATACTACCAGTCCAACACGGTACACTTTCCGACCACCGATCCCAGCCGCCCATCGGTATATAATCTCTTCAGCAATCGCGCCTCGCCGCTGCAAAGTCCGCACTATGACTCGCGCTATTTCGACAGCTCCTTGATCGCGATGAAAAGCCAGACGAGCAGTTCGAGTACCATCGATTGCGGCGGCAGCGTTGAAGACGTCTGGGTGAAGAGGAATAATGCGGAGAACAAGCGAGTAAGTTGACGTTTATTGAAGTGAGGTTACGTTCGACAAAATGGCGTATAGATTACACAAGATTAAAAATGCAGTTCACTTAAAGTTCGAGTAGGGAATAAACTTAACGACAAACGTTACATACTCGTAGGTAATCGACTATTTGCTCAATGTTTATGCACGTAATTTGTGTTTACTATCGATTTATACCTTCTTATGACTGCAATCCATGTTAAACATGCGAGGAAATTTATTGCAACACGCTGTATATGCTATTTCTTTATGTACATGCTGTGAATGCATAAATAAGTATATGCTAATGCATGTGTATGCCTGGGCGATCCTCCTCGCCGAGGAGTGGTGAGAGTAAACAAAAACGTCGAGGCGCGGCGTGTTAATTCGCGACACACGCGTTCTAAGTCAAGGTCGACGAGAGGCGATAAAACATTTTCATCCTGTATATGTGTGTGTGTGTATGTGCTGAGTGTGTTTACAATAAACACGAATCAAATTTGTTAGATATTGCACATTTGCGCAGCATGCAAACATGGAAATTTTCGTGTTTGTGCATGTGTGTTTAATGTTGCGCCGCGAAACAAAATGGCGTATCAACAGCGAATGAATTCGAGTGGAAGTCATTCGGGGACGCATTAAACTTAATTGAAATCACGATGTTTGTGTTGTCCGCCGACTCGGGTGCAGTCAGAAATATGCTGAAATTAAAACCAGTGGTCGGTTGAGTCTACGCATGTGCTGCAATATGTCGCGCATGTGATGCTGCTTAAAAATAATAAGCGTTAATTGATGGCGAGCACGATATATATGCCAAAATATTCCGAACTATTTTATTTGTTTGGATGATTTATGGTTAAAAATTAAATTAAAACTTTTAAATATGTGAGTAGTTAAAATTTTACCGCAAATTTTAATTAATATTTATTGTGGTTTTGAATTTATAACAATATGATAAATGATTTTTACCAGTAACAAATCAAAGGTTTCGGGATTTAATGGCTTTTTTTATAGCGTGAATGGCACATTAGCATATTTGTATCAATAATTTGCACATATTTAAATATCCAGTGTGCTCGCTAACTTGGTGAAGTTCAAGGCTTCTCGGCGTTTTATCAAAGCGGCGCGCACGACTTTTGCGCCGAACGCGTCGCTCGCGTCTGTGTCTCATCGTCATGTTGATTTCGATTTCGAACGTCGGCTTCTCGTCCGCTCCCTGTAATATCTGAGTATATTAAATTAATCAGACGCAGCGTCGACATGAAAAGTATTAAAATAAGATGTCAGATTGTATGAAGCGGATTTAATGTTAATATTAAACATGATGTTGGTGTGTGGCGATTTAGCACAATCTGGGCCTTCTTATCACGCCGAACTGTGAGGCGGTGGTGAAATATGTTAATGATTGGTTCGGCAGTGCCACAGCAGCCGACAACATGGCTGCTGAGTGTGGCTGATTATATTTTAATGTTGTAACAACATTTTAAAGTGATTTTTTGGTTAGTTTTGATTAGTTTAAGTACTTAAGTCAACATGCGGACGAGGAAATTAAAGAAACCGCCACCATTTGTAAGTTTTTCTAGTGATAGATATTTTAAGGTAATTTAAATAAATTTTAAGTTGGGAATTAGTGCTAAGGTCATGCGTCTGTACGCATTGCGGCGTGAATTTGACATCTTGATCGCTACTTGAAATGTTGCTGCCCTGGTTCTGCAATATTAATTTTATTTTGCTGCTCGTTGATCTTTATGATTATTTTTCGGCTTATTGCACGTATTGAATTATTACTTTTTTTATGACATAGTGAACGGGACCTTGCAAATAAATTTTTGCTGGTAAAATACGAGTTTATTTCGGTTATTGAACCGTCGGTCGAAAAGCGAAAATCTGTGCCTGCGCGAATTCATCAGCTGATATTCGATATTCGATGTGTGCCAATGTGCCATTGCTACACGCAATAAAATATAGTCTTGTTATCTAAACGTGATATAAGCAGTAAAAAACTAAACTTTGGTATAATAGTTAATCTAGTTTTGTTGTTAGTGCTATAGAAATAAATTTTCAAATAAATTACTTAGGTGGAACGATCAGAGGCAAAGTAGTAATTAGCAAATATATCTTAGCAAAGAGCGCGACGCGACGTCTAAGAACTAGAAGTGAAATGTCGACAGTACGTGTAATTTTACTCACACACACTAATACCATAAATGGCACGAACAGTAATCAACTATGATTAGTATTTAATTTATTTCTGAGAATGGTTGCTGATTTTTTTTTATCAGAGAAACGTTAGACTTCCTGTCGCCAAGTTGAAAAAACAGGTTTTATCCATTTACATTTGAATTGTTAGGCAACTTATTATGCACCACACTTAAATTTATTACTCGCGACTTCGTTTTGTAGCTTTTTTTAAGTAAAACGTAATTAATATTTATTTTACTGAAATGAGAATTGCTAATAATGCACTTTAGCGCCATCTGAGGCTCTATTAGTTATCTATAACTATGATTGAATCTTGAAATCAATTTTCATTCTTTGTTTACCTTCTTTTAAGTAATATTTGTTTACATTTTAATAGTTATTCTGCTATTCTGACCCAAGACGAATCTAACAAATCATAGATCATCAAAATATCTCCAGCCGATCTTGAGTTATAAATGCTGTAACTAACTTGACTTTGTTTTATATCTGGATGTAAAATTACGCCTAAAATTCTGCTTTTTTTGTAAAAGTAAATTTTATGGGTTACTATATTTAATTGTTGTGAGTATTGTGCAATTGCGTGTATTGTTGTATGCGTAACTCGCGTGTTATTAACGACCACGCATAAATTCGCACGTCGCACTCATTTTCCCACTTGCGAGCGGAAGAGACGCAGCCGCAGCACGTGCGCGAATAATTCAGCGCAGAGAATGCGCTTACTTTCGCGCATTTGCGCATCGAAACCCGATCCGACCGCGGCCGTGCATCATTTGCATATTTTATTTGTCCGAAATTCCATTCAAGGTGTAAACAAGTAGTAACCACACGCACTTAAGTATACAATACAATACACAATGGTGGGAATACAAATCGTACGTAAGTTTGATTAAAATTAAAACAAACGTTTTCATAGTTAAAAACTGTACATTCGCGTAAAATAAAGAATTCATTAAATTGCTGAAATGCAGAGCTGTTAAGTGAGAGGTATTTACTCGTCTTATCTTATCTGTCGCTGGCCGCTGAGCCGGTATACACGTGCATGCATAATCGGGCGTCTCGGGTAGGAGGCGTTTTGTTGTTGAGTTGTGTTGCGCTTCTTGCAAGCCGTTGCGAATTGCGACTTTTCACTTTGCGCTGCACTTTCGGTCGCTGCGTATGTGCGCGCAAAATGTGCAATGTCGGTCGCGGCGCGAAAATACCGTTCGATTGTTTAATCCGTTGTTGTCACTGAATCAGCAAGGTTGCTGGTGAAAACAAAGCGCCACCATAAAACCACAAAAAAAAATTGTTGTAAACTATGTCGTGGAAGCGTCAATACGACGAATTTAATCTCGGCAAAAACAATAAACTTCTACGGTCATATCCTGTATGTTTGTTGTGATTTTCTGGTCAATTTGATAAATAATTCAACTGTGATGTTTTAGGAATTGGGTTCACAACCGCTGCCGACGTTGAACGACGATGGCGATGTGCTGCCTCTGCCACGGCCACGCTCCGGCACCTGGGGCGCCAAAGACAGCCGTAAAGAGTCGAAAGGCAAGAAGGACAAGGCCGCTAAGGAACGTGACAAGGAAAAAGAGAAAGCCGAGAAGAAAGAACGCAAACGCGAGAAGGAGCGAGCTGCGCGTTCTGGTTCAGCGTCCAGAAGCAGCTCGGCCGAACGTCGTAAATCCGGCGAAGATGTTCAAAGTCCCAAAAAGGGTGGCATGCTGGACGCCTTCCGCAATCGCTCGCATTCGGACGCTAGCAAGAAGAAAGGGCTTGCCTTAATGGCTACAATGAAAAACATGGCCTTAGTAAGTATTATTTAATCAGATATATTAATATTTATTATGATTGTGACTCGCTTCATTCAGTTACACAATGAATAACAAACAAAATCAAGTTATTTACACAATATTTTTATCTGTGCTTGGGATATGTAATTAATTGCGTCACTTTTTTAGCATACTGGTTTAATGCACGCGAAACCAAAAGCGCCCCGAGATGGTTCGGCCCATCCTGTCAGAGATGGCTCCTCACATACCCAGTACTATCATACGGTGACGGCCGCCTCCTCGAGCAAGAACCCCGTTACCAAGGTGATGGATATATTTAGGAATCGGTCACATCAGAGCGTACCGCCCGAAGACAGACGAAAGGTGAGTGATTAAATTCGGTTTTTATTTTTATCTTCGTGGTAACCTTGGTCAGTTTTTTTGGTAATGAAACAATTGCCTGGCTCAAGATTTCAGTTTAGTTCACTTTATTATGAAGTAATTGTAAGCTGACATCAGACAAAGCGATTACTTTCCGTACTGCTTCTTCTGTGGCGTTTACACGATAGATTTTCATCGTTGAAGTCTCGAGTTGTTTCCACGCAGCTTCGTCGTTGATTCCCTTGAGCCGCATCACTATAGGCAACTTTAACTTCGTCTCCAGCAATGACGTTGCAATCTGTGTGCAGTCGTTATGCCAGTTTATATTTACGAGGATTGAAGTGATCCGTGGGTTTCTAGTTAATGCTTCAATTGCGATGTGGATGTTATCTTTTTCGTTGGGTTGAATGCTGTTTATGGTTAGATTTAAGTTGGAAAAATTGGCTGGCTTGCCGCCATATTGGTTGAGTAAATCGTTTGTTCCCATTGCCAATCCGGCGCCGTTAACTATGCAACCAATATTTCCACCTAGATGGATGTAGTTTATTTTATCTTGGAGGTTGTCTTCTAAACTGCGATTGTCTTTCATATCTGCCAGTAAAGCTGCAATGTGTGGCAGCTTTAACGCTGCATTATCAATTGTTATTTTCGCATCAAGACAAACTATATCTCCATGAGTACTTAGGGATAAAGGATTGACAGCCAAGTAGAGAATGTGATATTTTCGAAAGACTTTCCATAAACTCATTATTTCTTTCTGCACTTTAGAAGTAAAATCTTGACCGAAATTTAACTTTGTAATCAATGCGTCCATGATAGCTTCGGGTAGTTGGTTAGATAATCTTACTCTGTACACAGCCATTTTACCTTTGGTACTTTTTGAGAGGCCGTCTTTAGCGTCGAAGGAAAAATTGCTTTCGTCTGAGACGTAAATCGACGGTCCATGGATCGGATCAAGCGCAAAACAAATGTATTTTTGCTTTATTGCTCGTAAACATTCTGCCACGATTACTTTGTCGACGGGGACGCCTCTGTCGCTTGTCTGGTTTGTTACCAAGGTCTGTCCAAGCATTCTCTGCGCGATTTCCACTGCTTCCCGGCGACTTTTTGTGATATGAATGCCACCACGAAATCCGCTTGTGAATATTCCTCGGCCTCTGTCACCTGGCAGGATTTGCGCTTTGACAACATACGCGGGGGCGGCGATCTTTTGAATGCCGCCATATTTTCCACGTTCAAGTACGCAGAAGGGTTCAACGGTGCAGTCGTTTTCAGCGAGGAGCGTTTTGCATTGGTATTCGAATAGGTTGAGATGTCTGTTGAGCAAAAGTAGTATATTAGTTTTCTGTGGTATTTTTCCGACTACTTTTAATAGTGACATCTTGTTTGGATTATATTTTAACTTTGGTTTTCATTTATATCTTTTTGTAAATTTGAAGTAGAAGGTTACAAGGCACAAAAGTGCAGGATGACTATTCATTTCAAATTGATTTTGATTGATTCCCTGCCAAAATGAATAAATGTCAGTGATGTTTTCCGTAATAACAGTTGCCTATTCTCTGATTGGAAAATTTCTACATGCTTTGAGATGCTGCTTGTGCCTTGACTCTTCAATTGGTTAATTCGTAATTAATTAAAGCTGATTAAATTGTTTTCGACGTTGTATTTCATCAACCTAATGGATTTCTTATTGGTTGAACATTTTTTCTATTTAACTCAACTATAATAATTTATTGGAAGTGATAAGAAGTTGACTTAATTTAATGTAACTTTTATAAGGTTTTTTGCTGTATTTTTTATTAAGTTTTTGAGTCACGCGCGTATATGAGCAATAAATGTGTACAATTAGCTGTTAAATAGCGCATTCGGATCGTAACATGAAATTTATTATTTGTTACGTGAGTTTCTCGTTATCGCCGGCGCATTCTATTATGCTTTTTTCTTCAATGCGTTATTTTTAACTCCTTAATTTGCCTTGAAATGGCTTAATGTTTTAAGTTTTCTTTATGAGAAAATTATCAAATGAGTGTTTACATCCTCATCCCGGAGGAACAAATCAAGGTCATTTTGTGTGTGTGTTTGCACACGCGTATTTACTGCCTGATTTGTTTAGTTTCGTTTGGTTTAACTAGCGGATTTATCCATTGCGTTCGAATCGAAGCTGAAATAAGTTTGGTGGTCGGAGTGACATTTAAAATAGAAATTTATATGCAGTTCCACGGACGGAAGCTTTGCGGCGCAGGCGATTTTCATATAAATTGTTTACGGTGGCGTAATTCATTTTTGTCTGGGCGAAATTTGCATTTTTCGAACACGTGATGACTAAACACTGCGCGCGGATAAATTTAAAGTTATGTTTTTAAATATTCAAATCGTATCTTGGTAGATTTTGTAAGGTTTTGCGCCATCTTGAAAGTGTACAATGGCTGGGGGCATTATTTATAATTTATTATCAGTTTACGTAATGTCATAATGCCAGCGCGCAGCGCATATGATTATCAGCGAACTTGTTGATTGCCGAGTGCATTCACAGGCGCATCGTGCATTTCGAAAACGTTTCAATGTAAATGCACCCACCAAACGTACGAATTACTGCATGCTTCAGGCGCGTATACCGCTCGCGGTTTTAACAGCCGCCCGCAGTAGGAGCGCACACGATTGAAATTGTACAAACGGGCACGATAATCGCGACAATCAGTCGGCGGCCACCGACCGGCGACTGAACAACAACTCGATTCCGACTTCTCTGTGTGCGCGTTTGTGAAAAGTGACGAATTATTACGGTCGAAAACTATTAATTCTATAAAATATACTTTTGAATAATAAAAAATGTTTAACAAGAGTGATAATGGAGATAATAACACAGATATAAATTAACGCGTTAAACGAGTTTATGACAATTGTTTGCTTCGATGAAACAAAGAAAATAACGCGCTGATGGTGTGTTGACTTGACGAGAGATGAAAATCTTATCGCGGCATTGTTTTGTTTACACGTGCGTGCTGATTGCGATTAAGGGTATTACAATGTCCAACTTTTTTCGTGTGGCGAATATGTTGCTAATAGTGTCGGTGTGCTATTTCGGCGAGTCGTGTAATTAATTCGTTTAATTGTGGCTTCATTAAAGCCGATTGTTAATTGTGCACGTAAACGCGGAAAGAAAATTGAATGAATTGAGGGCAATTAGCTCTTCGAACTGAAGATTTTCCAAGTGATTAACTTTCATTAAACTCAGTTTTATGTGTGAAAATATTTGTTTTAACTGAAATTTGTTATGCGAGGCTTATCGTTCGGTTGCACGTCGGCGCGAATTTCGTTGTTTAAGTTTTAAGCGTTTTTCGACCCGTAACTAACTAACTTTATTTAAATGTTTGAGCAGTGATTCTGATAACGACGAAAGTTTTTAACTTGTCATGTGTTTTGTGTTGCGCGCAAAATTATGGCGCAGTATTTTCGTTGGATGAAAAGCAGTGGAAGTGGTGGAGGCGGTGGCACATCACCGACGAGAAAGAACGCTGGGGAGCATAATCATCATCATAATAATAATATTATATTGCGGAAGGACTTGGGCGCGCTGTCGGTGCCGAATAAACCGAGGAGTCGTTCGTTGGACGCGCGATCATTGGAAGCGTCTGGTATACGATTGTTATTGCAGAATGTAGGTTTATATACATAATCACAAAAATTTAAAAGTATTACTCATAATTTTCAGTATTCATTTGTTAGGAGATAAGCTAAGCTCATTTTTCAGCCGAAAAAAATTAATCTCGACGATTTGTCAGTATCACATCGCAGTGAAATGAAAAATTCTCGCGCTGATTAATTGAGGCAGACTCTTGTTTGTAGAGTATTCGTCCTTCGCCATCATCCTTGTTCGCATTGTCCTTTGATTGTTTAGTTGGCGTGCATTACGAGTATATTTAACACAGATGATTGTTAAAGTGCAACGACTACGACACACAAGTATAAAATGTCCTCATGTTGTTTGTATATTAATGACGGTAGATATTTTGCGTCGGGCAACATTTAACGCCCACAGTCCCCTGCACACATGTACATTGTTTAAATGCCTAATTTCTCATTTCCATTTCGGTTGTTTTATTGTTCTAATGAAACAACTACTTCTTTTACATTCTGATGACTTTGGGGTGTTCTAAAATACATCGGAAGTAAATTTCAGGTAGTGAACTGTGACGTAAACTTCTCATAAGGTCAAATTATTTATTTCTCGATGTTATTTTACTCCCAAAATATTTATTTAACCTTTTTGGCTTGAATTTATTCATCGTTCGACTTTTTTTCTTTGTATCATTGGAATTTTACCAACTTTTTCAATTTTTCCTCGTAAAATTCGAAATATTTTGTTTTAAATGTTGAAACTTTATTTAATTTACCATGACAATATAATTATCGTAAATAGCAGTTAAATCTACGTATTTATTGATAAGTTAGTGTATATTCAGCTCGCTTTATCGCCCCGACTTACAATTATATAAGAAACGTTCGTAATTATTAATCCTGATAACACATGCGTGGCGCTCTCTTATCGTTCATAATATGTTGTTTACATTTTTACTAATTACACACTCATTTTGATATTTATTTCCACATTTGGTTGACGTTGATATTGACTTGACGGTTTACAAACAGTGTAAGACTAAATCACTGATAACATGCAAACATTATTTATTTATAGCGTTAATTATTATCGCAATTAGCATTTAAACTGTTTTATGTTATTAATTTGGTATTAATTTGTGCAATTTTATTGTTTCAGAGGGCACAGCAACAAATTGGTGAGTGATTTTACCATTTTACTACTTTTCCGTGAATTTCTGCACATAAAAACAGGAAACTATTACGCGTTGGTAAATTTGGGAATTCAAACACAGATGGCGTTACTGATATAGTTTCGAAACAAATAAATACGACGCAGGCGTTGTATTTTAAAGCGATAACGTTGTAAACATTCGACACAGCACAAAACGTGCGCCTGTGTGTGTTTATTTTATTTATAGAATTACGTAATATATGCGCTCGCGTTTGTCGCAACGCGCGGCGTTATTCGGGTACAGTGTGTACAGAAGCGAGATAAACAAATTTTGTTTTGACGGAAAACCTTTATTCCAATGTGCAATCACAGACCAGAGGGAAACTTTGTGATAATCTTGCGATAACATAATTTGTGTTGTGCATATTTTTACGTTTTACTCTAGAACGCATGATATAATATTGACCGAACATGTTTTCTGATGCGTTTCACGTACTGTTGTTTACTCGGAAGCTGTTCGAACGGTTGCAGATGTTGAGGCGTAGGATCGTGTTTGTTCTTATTGCACACGTGTTGTGCGCTGTGTTTGAAATGACGCGATTCGTAGTGAACGAAATTGTGTTTTGGATTATGTATGTTGCGGGCTGCTTCGTTTCGGTGTTATGTCGTTGGCAACGCATGACTGTACGGCCTTGAAAGGGCTTGGGGAAATGTAGGGCCTCTAGGCAGAGGGAGAAGATCTTATATCAAAGAAGCAGTTTACTGTGTTTACAAGAAACGTGGATGGAACTAGTAACGCGATGAGATTGTAATGGAAAATGGAAATTTATATAGCTGGCGTTATTTTTCGAGGCAAGCAAAAATAATATTAGCTCGGGTGCTTGGGGATAATGAATATTGTTTTATTAGAAAACAAACGGAACACGCGTGTGGCCTATGCGTGCGAAATTCGCTCATCGCTGGCGTTGGTGAATCGAGGTCTCTTCGTGTCAAGGTTTTATTTTAATCATTTTACGCATACTATTCGTTTTAAATACGCTCTAGCACCACGTGCCATTCGGAAAATATTAAATTTCCCACGAGGAACAAGTTATATGCGCCACGCGCGAAGTTTATTGTAGTCAACCCACATAACACAAAACCCACACACACTTTTTGTTTCCAACTTATCAAAATATTTATTATTCCATTTTGGGCCTAAACTAATATTGTAATTTAATTGAAAAGAAATTGTTTGTCTGCGAAATTTATTTTATAGACGAGCGAACACATTCCGTGCTCATCAAAAGAAAAGCTTCTTATTTTCACGTTCAAGTAGCGCATAAAACTTTAAAAGCTTACAAATCTTGCTGCACTCGTCGAAAGCGCGCGCTCCAACTAGTTTTTATAATATAGCTGATGTGAAGTGCGAACTAAAAATATCGCCGTGGAATTGCGTTGTTTTCTTGAAGAGAATCATGCAACTTGGGAGTATTTTTGAGCTTATTTCATGTTGACGCTTCTAATGTATGCGGCCAGGGAAAAACTGGGCGATGGCTGGAATCAGGGGAATCGACCGAGCTCTCTGGTATATGTATCATGAAATCCCCCTCGCTTTGAGCTTTCGGCTTTCGTATAAAAAGAGACGGAAATAAAGTCACAAGTAATGTGAGAAAATAACTTATAGCATGTTTATAGCATATAGATACTCCTTGGACACTGTTGGTAAACTTTTTTTTGGAGCAATATCAAAAATAAACATATATCATGCGAGTGGCTTTATTAGAGTTGCGGATGCGTATTTTATTTGTTATTGCGCGAAGGCCGGAAAAGCTTCGGAACTGGAAGTTAATTAAATTTCAGTACTAACGTGCTTTGATATTTCTGATACGCTTCCCTTACTTCGAGAGTATTATGCGACAAATTTAATCTGTGGAAGTGCGCAACCAAAAAACGCTCACGAAATGGATATTGTACGTATAGCGTGCAGTACTAGGTATGTACTACTGCTCTGCTTTTGTTATGAATGCACCCACAACACACGTCGTTTCGTGTGCAGTGCGTTTCGCCTCCTCGATTATTCCATTGCGCAGCCGGCTCTACGCCGGCACGAACGAATTCCAACCTCGAGCGGCCGCGGAACGACGCTTGTTCGGCAGTATCTCGTGGAATCGCGGCCGGGCGCCTTCCTTCTACCTGTGTTTACCGAAAAACGCGCTTCTTTGCTTGCTCACTCACAACATAACTTGAATTTACCACCATTTGCATCGTCAACACATCAATAAACACACATAAACTAAACAACACTATCATTTTTAGTGTTGGAGTGATTTTCAACTATCAATAAAACATTTTATATTTATAAAAATAAATATAAGTAAAAACAGTTTTTAGTTATAAAAATATATTTAAACGAAAATAATAATTACTGCTAAAGGTGTATGCATTGTTTTTGTTTTTTATTACTGCACCGCAGTGAAATGCAACGCAATCATTTAGCCAACCGTATCATCGACCCGAGTTGGAACTAGTCAACGCGTTTTGTTTTGCTAACAAAATAAAAACCAGTCGCACCGAATTTATTACTTGCACAATTATTATTATTATCGTCCGGGAGTTAAATTAAATGAGTGTGTGTGTGAGTGTGTGTGCGGTGACCGAGTGCGATAGTTGTTATTGTTGTCGGTAATAAAAATAAACAATAAAATTGTTTGGAGTTGTAAAAGTTAGGTGCGTGTGCGTGGTCGCACTGGAAATTGGCAAACACGTGTGGCGCTTGGTGCATCATATCGTCACCAAAACATTGTCAACTCGAAACTTACTTTAGTTACACGCGTACTACGTATTATTCATTCCACGGATTACTATCACATCACTTGAATTAAGACTTGGCGCTGCGGACGTAGGTAGTAGCGCACGTTGCGGTGGCTTGCAATTACTTTCCGAGTCAAGCTCTCATTACGGCGCGGTACCTAGAAGAAGGGAGAGAATGTAAGTGACCTTGAACCTTTTACGACTCGTAACGTAGAATTTCGAACTTGTTACTTAATTGTCGAGAGTCGAGTTGAGTTGGAAGTTACTTAATTGAAATTTATGTGGTTGGCTGAAGAATGTCTGGTTCCTTCTTCGACGAGTTTATGATAATACACTATTGTGTTGTCAAGTATTATTATATTATTCACGACTTCTCTTGAATACAATGCATATTTTGAGGCGATGAAATGTTTATATTTATGAATAATGGAACATTTAGAGTAATTAATCAATAAGTTGCAGAGGTTTTCGTGTATTGTTAACTGCGCAGGCGTAATACTTTTGAATGCTATGAAAATTAAACATTTCCGATGTTTTTCTCTCGGTTTTAATGAAGCGTGGAAGTAATTATCTTCAAATGTGCATTTAATGCCTTACTACACAACACAACAATTGATTTATTGTTAATTTAAAGAATAAATTGAATATAAGTTCATATTCAATGGAATTAATTAAAACTTTTTTTATTTACTGACGTTTGTGGTAATTGTTCATCTAAAAGCGAAAAACAATCCAATTATTACTGGATTCTTGACCTTTAAATTTATTAAAATTTATATTTTGCTCGTATTTTTGCAATGTTTTCGTATAAAACAAAGTTTACTCAGTAATCAAATTAAACTTTATCAAACTAGATAAATTCTACGCAGTTTTGCATAAATTATGTGTACATTCAAACTTTGTTATAAATATTTATATATACATTTTCAGTTTTAGCTTTAACTTTGTCGCCTTTGTGGAATTATTAAATGTTACGTGCTTGTTAGAGAAGTTCATCTATATTCTATTTTAAGAATATTTTATTCCACTTTAAACAAATGATGTTATTCAACGTCAGTCAGTGCATTTGCACATTTAATATAAACAGGCTCTAGTGTTTTTATAAAAAAAGTCACAAGTTCTCTTGTTTTATATAAAAACAATGATTTGTCACTACATGTAATTGATTGATACTTATTTTGCATTGGGTTTTTTTAGTCTATGAAATATTTATAGATAACGAAGTTTATTAAGATTAATTTGCAATTTTGTAAATTTACGACTTCTTAACTTGTTGCTAACTTAATTTTTCACTTTACGCTACACCAGACGCACTGGGAATTTACAAATTAAGCAAATTGTTCAATTATTTCCGTTAAATATCGCACGCCGCAAATTTTAATTTTAAATTGCCACAGGAATTGTTTGTTCCATGATTAATGTGTGTTTTTGTTCGTGTGCACGTGGAAATTTAAAATTCAATCGCAAAAACCGTATACGTCTGTCGCGCAACTCAAATATTGAAATTTTTTGACGTTCAGAATTTGTTTGATAAATGCAAATAACGACAACAATCGAGTATGTGTCATTTTGCTCTAATGTATTTCTCTCACAACGCGTACACGTGGCAGACTATAAATTTAACATAAATTGTGATTTGTAAGTTAAAGTTAAACATAAATCTACTTGTTTTTGCGTCTTTGTTAGTCGTTGCATTTTTTCAACAACTTGTATGATACCAAGATGCCAAGATTTTATAGTGTTGTTTATGCGATTGTAAATTACTCTAGGTAATGATATTATTCGCACAATTGTTCATTTGCGTTTTGTGGCGCACGTGGTGTAGTGTGAATTTGCTTTTAATCAGGCAATAAAGCAGAAATGTTCGCCCACGAACTCGGAACTTGCTCGTTTCGTTAGGAGGCGCATAAAACAAACGAGATTAAGAGCGCCAAACAAGTGATACGAAACGCGAAATGCATTTTAATTTTATGCGATGTAGAAGATTATTTCCGACACGTGTTATTACATAATATAATGCGGGCGTTGGATGTCCCCGTAAATTATTTATTGTTTTTGACATACGTGATATTTATAGTGCAGTTTTACTTCCCTACAATTCCATTGCATATTGTTTTTTTTTCACAACTGATTAATTCTTATTTCTGCGTAATACTCAGAGTATCGATCGTGCTTTTTAATACCAACGTAATTCTACGATTTTTTAAATTATTGAGTTTCTATTAGGCAGAT